GCCTACTTGTTGGTCGAAAATCCGACCCGGAGTCCTATCCACATGCCGGCAGGAAAGCCCTTGGGCATGCTGATAGATAGCTCATTCCATGACTTCGAACTTTCAGTCCCCGTGATCGGACAACTTCCGTTGTTCTTGAACGACAGACAGGTTGGTGTAGACACATTCAGTACTTTCCCTTCACAAATGATTACCATCAAGCGGCATGAAGCCCTTCCTGAGGAACCCATTTGCAGTGCAACCTTAGATACTGACGGCGGTCAGTGTCTAACGGTTTTTGCAATAAATACTCAACCCTCTGAGTCACCGGTTGAAAGCCCGGAACACCAGAGACCCTCCTCCTCTGAACCTTATGACGGCTTCGAGGCCGAAGTCAGCCAGCAGCTTGACAAAGCGGATGCGCTGGAGTCAGAGGAGCAGAGAGCAGAGCTTAAAAGCCTGTTCTATGAGTTTCAGTCCATCTTATCCAGGGACTCCCTGGACTGTGGACTCACAAACCTGCATACGGTTCGCATTCCAACGAACCCGAATGCCCCTCCTACTTTTGTACGTCAGTACAAGATTCCCCTCGCTGCTTATGAGTCGATCCAGGAGATCCTCGATCAGCTGAAGGAGAAAAACATCATCAGAGAGTGTAACTCCACTTACAACTCTCCCATCTGGCCGGTTCTGAAACCGACTGGGAAATGGCGACTCACCATAGACTATCGTGCACTGAACAAACAAGTACCTCTCTCCAGGTGGCCTATGATCCATTTAGATCAGGAGCTAGCCAGAGTCAGAGATGCTCGTTTCTTCTCTACGGTTGACATAGCCAACGGCTTCTGGACCATGAAGGTTGAGCCGGCGGACCAGTATAAACTAGCTTTCTCCTTTGGAAATTGCCAATATACTTGGAACCGCTGCCCCTTTGGCTACTCTAACTCACCTGCAGAGTTCAACATCTTCCTCCACAAAGCCATGTCAGATGCTGCTTCCAGAGGGAACCTCATATATGTCGATGACATCTTGATGAGGAGTCGAACCTTCGAGGAGCACCTGGCCGAACTCCGTCACGTGCTGCAACAGCTCGCTGATGCCGGAGCTAAATTGGCGATTCTCAAGGGACAGTGGTGTCGAACCAAAGTGGAGTATGTTGGACTGCTGGTTGGCCCTAATGGAGTCGAGCCCCAAGCGGGACGCATTAGAGCCATTCAGGACATCAAAGCCCCAGCTAATCTGACTGAACTCAGGAGCTTCCTCGGAGTCTGCAACTACTCCAGGCAGTTCATTGAGGAGTACGCTGAAATAGCGAGGCCCCTCACCGAGCTACTTCGGAACGACACACCTTTCGTGTGGGACAGACCCCAAGAACACTCCTTCCAGTTCCTAAAACAGAAGTTGGCGTCCGCACCCTGTCTGGCTTACCCAGACAAGGATAAAGAGTTCTACATAGAGGCTACTTTCTCCTCTCACTGCCTGAGCGCTGCTTTGAAGCAGAAACACGATCAGGACATGAGAGTTGTGGCATACGCCAGCAAGCCTCTGAGCAAGGTGGAACTCCAATTCTCAGACTGCGAGAGAGCTCTCCTCTCTACAGTCTGGGCCGTCGAACACTTTCGTAGTTACATCGGTGGACAGAAAGTGATCATTGAAACGTGTCATCAGCCTGTCACCTTCCTAAACAGCCAGCGTCTGCGCGAAGGAAGAGTGTCAAACAGCCGCATTGCGACGTGGATGATGGTGCTCCAAGGATACAACATTGAGGTCAAGTATGGTCAGAACACCAAGCTAGCGCTAGGACAAGGGCTAGCTGGCTGCCAGCACTGTGACTCTGACTCCGTCATGGGCCCCCTGGACACACCTGCCGCAGTCTACCCAACCACATCCAATCATCGCTACTTTGATGAGAATGTTTGCCAAGGGCTTCCGAAAGTTTACACTGACGGATGTGCCTATCTTCACGAAGGCCAGCTCCGTGCTGGGGTTGGAGTCGTTTGGGTGGACTGTGACACTAAGCAACCAAATCACTACCGGTTGGGCCAAAAGTCTAGTCAGTACGCCGAAATTGCTGCAGTGTTGATAACCCTCCAGCAGGCGGCAGCCTTGGACATCACTCAAATCGTCCTTTGCTCTGATTCAAACTACGCTAGACACAGCTTCATCTCTCACTTCCCCATGTGGAAGGAGAACAACATGAAAAATGCCAGGAACAGAGACGTGAAACACTCTGAGTTATTCCTAGCGTGTGATCTGCTCACCACTGAGAAAGGCATAATGGTCTACTGGAAAAAGGTCAAAGGTCACTCCAGGACCATAGGTCCGGAGAAAGATGGTAATGACGAAGCTGACCGCCTTGCTAAGCTCGGTGCTGACCAGGGAACCTGTTGGGAATTCAAAGACGAGTGGCTTCCTCCCAAGGCCGTTCACGAGGTCTGTGCGATTACTCGTCGCCATGCTAAACAGGCAGACGAACCTCAGAACATTGGGGTACCCGTGTTTCTAGGCAGACAACCACAGGACGCGGACCTAGTCACCATGCAGGAACAAGATCCTGACCTGAAGCTCATCCGCGAGCTTCTCCAAAAGGGCCCGATGTCTAAACAACCGTCCCCACCTACTGGCGCAAGTCAAGATTTGGTAAACCTGCATCGTCAACTCACGCACCTGAAACTACAAAACGATTTGTTAGTTTACATGCGTGACGACCACAGCCCGCCGCGCTGGGTTGTTCCACTCGACCACAGAGGAGTGATGCTTGCCTACGCCCACGACCCTCCGGTTGGAGGTCACCGCGGAGCAAAAGCTACCCTCGCGTCACTGACAGAAGTAGCATATTGGCCGTCGATGTCCAAGGACGTACACAGCTATGTCCAAGGCTGCCTCATCTGTGCCCAGTTTCAACCCTCCCAGCCGCTTGCTAGAGCACCACTGCAACGCAGGGGAATAACCTTCCCTTGGTCCCACCTGCAGATCGACTGGGTTGGACCGGTTCCCAAATCGGCAAGAGGAAACAAATATATGCTAACTGTAACTTGCAGTTTCACAAAGTGGGTGGAATGCCTTCCAGCGCCAAACGATACAGCCGTCACAACCGCTGTACTGCTGATTAACCACGTTTTTAGTCGATGGGGACTTCCACTCTGCATTGACTCTGACCGGGGAACTCATTTCACATCCAGTGTAATGACATCCCTGTTTGAACTTCTGGGGGTGGAAGTGAGATTCCACCTCCCCTATCACCCACAGTCATCCGGACAGGTCGAACGGATGAACCGCACGGTCGTCTCTATGCTCAAAAAGTACGTCTGCTCCACTGGGAAGGACTGGGACGTCAAGCTCCCTCTGGTCCTGATGGCCATACGGTCCACTCCACAGCGATCCACTGGGGTTACGCCCTTTGAGATGATGACCGGCAGACTGATGACTCTACCACTGCACCTCCTGTATCACCCAGAGGATGTCAGTGTTGCCACTGCCTATACCGCTCATCAGTATGTGGCAGACTTGAAAACACACCTCAGAGCTACGTTCGCGCACGCTCAGAAGAAACTGGAGACCAACGTAGAAGGCGCTAAGGCCTACTACGACCAAAAGACAACCAGCCGCGAATACGAGGTGGGTGACAAAGTATTCTACTTTCGGTTCGCCCAACCGGCACGCAAAGCTAAGAAGTTCCTGCCCTGCTGGTCAGGACCATTTGAGATCGTGGCAAAACTCTCTCCAGTTGCATACAGGTTACGCATCACCAAAGCGAGACAGGAGCCTGTCTACAAATGGGTGCATGCAAACCAAATCAAACCCTACGTCAAACCATCCCCGCGGGTACAGAGACCAGACTCCCCGCAGGAGGTAGACGTAGTCGCTATATAGTTCTATGCATGGAAATGGAAAAGGGGGGGAAGTGCACGTTTAACCCACTAACATGTACTAACCGACAAAGAACCAAGCCCCCCCCCGCCGTCATTTTCACTAACCAAGAGAAACTCCTCCTAGAACGCTAACAGGAAGTACTTACTAAAACCTTACAGGGTACTCTTGTAACTGTCAACCTACATTCTGCTCTGATTAATGAATCTCTACGTGCAATCAAGACTTTGTCTGAAACCATACATCAGGATATTGTGTACACAAGAGTGGTGAGAGATTTGATGCAGGACCTGCTCAGGGAAGTAAGTTCCACGCTGGACAGCTTGGTTGAAAGTCGTATTTCCCCGTACTTGGTACCACTGGACCTGCTCAAAGATAGCTTGACAGCTGCTACCCCTCTACTGTGCACCTTTCACAAATCCACCTAGCGTACAGCCTAAGTAGTGCAATGCCCATTCACGTTGGAAAAAAATTAGAACTCTGTTTCCTGTTAAACGTTCCCATAATTGTGACACCTCACATCTATAGGTTTAGGTCGATGCTGAACATTGGTATTTGAAAGGACGGTAGGCATTTCCACTTTGAACTAGAAACCTGACACTCCATCACCTCAACCTCGAACAGCATGACTCAGAGATTGAGGTCATGGACGCTTTCCAGGGTTATAACTTTGCCTTCGATTTAGAAATTGACCAACAATTACTGATTGAAGGAACCAAATTTGCTAAGTTCACACAAAACCCGCGTGAACTTACTTTGACGCCCAAGACGCTACATTGACACAGATTATACAACCTTAATCTGCACATTGGTCGCCCTGGGGATGGGATGGCTCATCACGGCCGTGATTGCTTATTCCGCCTACAGGCGTGTTAAGAAACTCCAAGATAAGATGCACTTGCTCACCTACGGTGTGCCTCGTGACCGCGTTCGGGGAGACTCCAAGCGCGAATGTACCACACCTGTCTAAAGGGGGTGAGCAACATTTTCTTTGTTATTCTGTAAACCTAAGAGTAGTTCTCATTTTAGTCTACCTCACATATTTATCTGAGTGTTGCAGTATGTCACATTCTTTATAAGCTACACACTGACTGTATGACCTAAGAATGTATTTTATGAGACCTCAAGGTTGCTATGAATTTTCTTGGATGTTATATGTTTTTTTTTTTGGGTTTTCTGTATTTTTGTTTCTTACTTGGTCACATATTAACTAGTGGTTATGTGCCGGCCCAGCTCAGTCTGTCAATGACTCTGTCTGACGCACCAGCACATTGTAGTACCTCTTAGTTTTATGGTCCTTGTTTTAGCCCAAAGACTGTCCTGATCCACCCTTTGGACCAAAAAGGGGGGAATCTTGGGACCACATAGGTCAATGCGCGTTTGCGAACTATGGACCTCGTACATCACCGCGTGCTCCATAAACTGAACTGTATGGCCGGCGGTGAGATGCCTTTGTGTCCACTCGTGGAGTTAACCGCCCACCGACCTTCCTCCTTCTACACTACTACCTCTCGCATGGACGACATCATCATTGCGTACCACCTGCGTGAGTGGCTTCTTCTCGTTATGCGCGTTGGGGACTATCCCGTTTCCTATCCTCTTTGTGCCTGACCAAGACAAAGACCAAAGGCGCCAGGATCCAAGACAAAGACCAAAGACAAAGGCGTCCAAGGAGACCAACGTCCTAAGGGACAAACCCACCTGTGCTTCTGACAATCAAGTCGACCTACGTTCATGAGGAACAAACCCATCTGTGCTTCCGACGATCGAGCTTTGGGCGCGATCCCCGAAACCAAAAGGGGGAATGTTGAGGGTCTGACCTCATGAGAAAATTACTATGCAGTGATTTTCTCCAAAATGACTGTGCTTAAATTGCTCTGAAAAGCAAATAATCACATCAGCGCCAAGAAACTTCATTTCCCATGATGCTTTGCACACGGAAGCATTGTGATGACGTCACCGCCTAGTACCAGAAACACGTTCTGCGCATGTGCGGGAAGCCGTGGAGCTTTTCCCGTGAACTAAGACCATAAATCTTCAGCAGAGACAAAGAATTCTTTCTTTTGCCCAGGATACCTGGCGGTGAGGACACGCTTGTCGAACGCTCCGACTTCTTTGAGCACGCGGAAGCTCTAAGAGCCAAGTTGAGCCCACGGGACCGCTGATCTGCTCGTTTCTGCTCCCCTCCAGCTGATGTTTGAGGACACAGAACCAGCGGAGGGAAACAACAACTCCATCCAGCTCTCAGAAACGCTGTAAGTTGTCAAACTCAGCCCAAAAGGAACTTCGTTTTCTTTGTGTCCAGCCGTGGAGAAACACTCGTGGAGCCAAACAACGGAGAAAGCATCAAACCGGCGGATGACGCTGAAAACTGCGGAGAAACACGGAGAACCGTCAAATCAAAAGGGGGAGGGACGCCTCGCTCTTTTGGTGATCAGAAAACTCATTTTTCTCTCATTCTTTTCTTCTCCCGTTTCCTCTATAGTCCAGAATAAGCAATAAGACCGCGCTATTGCTTAAAAAAAGTAGCTTCGTGTTTTCCTCTTTCGTTCCAAATTCGTCCTTCGGGTCATTTTGAAAGAATAAACTGCTTATTAATCATTGTTTGGTATCTTTAAATGTTCGGCCATGGCCAGGCTGATAAACTAAGGATATTAACTCGTGATTAATCTTTTGTGTTGTTGCATGATCCTTTGAAATGTTTTGAGTGATTTAAGGTTAAGTTACTACTGATTCTAAGTGCTTTGGAAGTTAAAGTGCAAGTTGCCACCCACACTTTAGCCAGACAAAGGAGTCAGCCATCTTGTATTCAAGACTCCATTTTGAATCCATACACACGCACACACACTACTCCTTTGTGAGAACAAAGGACCCCATTCATACATCCTACATACACACAAAACACCTTGAACATTATTTTGAATATACATCCTTTTATTATATCACATGGTTATTATTCATTTATGCCACTGTTTATTCATTTGACAAATTGTTAATTAAACGTTATAAAATTCAGATTTTCGTCTCCAGTAGCTTTGTTGTGTCGAAGAGAAGTCTCTGCTCCAAGGATTCTACGAACTTCAAGAAAGACTGATAAGAGTTTTGGATTCAATTTTTCCCCGGTTAAAGGGGAATGGTGCCCCGTATATCTAAGAATATCTTAATTAATTAATAAATCAGTAAATATTTACATATTTACAGAATTTATTGAAGAATCCAAATGTAAGTTGAAGCTTACTAATTGTTCGCTCCTAATAACCCCAACACACATTACTTTTTTTCATTAATGACCGCCATCATCTCTCAGGAAAAGATCAGGCTCATAGCGTGTCGCATCTAAAACTGTCTGGATAGAAACCTGTCCTGCTATATCCTACTTTTTAGTACATCAACACAATCTCCTGCTTCAGTATTTAAAATCAGCACATCACCCACCTCTAGCAGACATGTTTTAAACTGTGGTTCAGTGTAGAGATTCAAATGTATTGTTTACTTGGGCGTGTGCTCCACACCAGTGAAGATTTTACTTTTTAAAGCTTACTTTACACCAATGTATACTGCCCACCTGTGGTGTAGATATAACCTTCTTGATGGTTTAGTCAACCCTGCAGTTCTGTCTGATTTATTTATAGTTGTGGAATCACTGGCAGAATTGTTTGTATGTTAGACATTGAGCACGTTATTGTTTATTCTGTTTTTCATTGGTGTTTTTGTATTGCTGTGTTTTTTATCACGTGTTGGTGTGTGGCTGAGCAGTGGCGCAGTGGTTAGAGCTGTTGCCTTGCAGCAAGAAGGTTCTGGGTTCGCTTCCCGGCCTGGGATCTTTCTGAATGGAGTTTGCATGTTCTCCCTGTGCATGTGTGGGTTCTCTCCGGGTACTCCGGCTTCCTCCCACAGTCCAAAAACATGACTGTTAGGTTGATTGGTCTGTCCAAATTGTCCTTAGGTGTGTGTGAGTGTGTGTGCATGATTGTTTGTCCTGTGTGTTTCTGTGTTGCCCTGCGATGGACTGGTTCTCTGTCCAGGATGTACCCCGTGTGTTTCTTGTAGATGGATCCCCCTGGGTCTGAAATAAAGGCTCTATCTACTTACCTGCTGCAGCTCTTTGAACAAACTTTTACAGAGATGTGTTGGTTCTTATCTAACAGACCAACTAACAGCTAGTCACACTGGGGAAGGTTACAAAGGGCCTCTAAATAATCCCAATCTCAAAGTTTTATCCTTATAATATTGTATAACCTCTAATTTACCACACGTTTCACCTTTTTAGCAGCATTATTCGCAGCCAGATATTTTACAGTAGATAACTCTGCAGTTCATTTCTGCTGCTAACGACCACAGAATGTAAACAAGCACCCTGCAGATTTATAAGATCACATTTGCAATAACTGCTATAAATATCTTGGGATTGGGATTATGCTAGAATACTTTGTACCAGAACTCAGTCAGGTTAGCTAATTTGTTCAGATGTGATCTGATTCTGTGCTATCTGCTCCAGGTAAGATAGTTATTATTCATAACATGTTTATGGAAGCCCTTTTAATATATCTGGACTATCCCTTTTAACCCTTTGATGCATGAATTATGAAATCTTCAACCATGATTTTTTAAACAATTTTTTTCATTCATCTTTAGGTGTAAATTAAACAAATTTCAACAAATATTTTTTGTAACATTTTGTTAATTTACAAATAATTTATTACATATCCACCTTGGTGGACAGCGTGCATTCTGACCATGAAATATTTTGGCTTGACTTGCTGAAGCCCAAATGGAGGGGCTCACATGCAATAAAGTCTTAAACAGCTGTGCTTATAGCAAAAATAAATAAATAACAATTTTGAGTACCTGTCCACTGTAGTGGCCATTATGCATCAAAGGGTTAAGTCGCTTTAACTGAAAACTAACAAAAACTTAAATAAATCAGAGTGTCGAAAAACAGGTAAAGTCCTCCACTCATTGGTTTATCCATCATCACTGCCTTCTTCTCATTCTGCCTTTCCTGCAATCCACTGATGACCTTTTCCTCTTTCCTTACAATTTTTAAAAACAATTTTTACTTTTTCTATTTATTTTGTTTTTGTTTTGTTGTTCTTGTGAAGCCCCTCGTGAATTTCAACTTGAGCGGTGGGTGCTATACAAAAGATGGTTTCTTTTTTTCTTTTAAACACATTTGACCATGTTAGTTCCTTAAAACCATTTATTGCAATAAATACATTCATTTTATTAGATTATTTACAAAACAGTGCAGACCACTGAGTGGCTTAAGAGTAAAAATCCTCCTCAGTGTTCAGTATTCATGCAATTTTACAAAAAGAATAGTTCAGCAGCAAGCCCTATGCTACTTGGCTCATCGGGATTCAGATGATTTCAAGTTTTTAGTTGTTTTTTTTTTTACTTTTGGTTTTGTTTCATCCAAACCTGGCGAAATCTGTGCAAACAGAGCAGCATCTGGATTGAGATGACAAACAAAAACCCTTCTTGATCTTTTTGATCAGGTGATCTGGACGGGGGGGGGGGGGGGGGGTGCTGCTTAATTAATCACCAGGCATGGCGCCTTTAAATAAATAGAGATCGTTTGAGACAACATAAGAGGAAATAAATAAATTACCAACAGAGGAAATACGTGTTGTGTAGCCATCCCTGCTGCTTTCTGGACTCATTTCCATATCAAGAACAGTGTATCAAAGGCAGCCAGCCCTCCGACTGGGATGTCGATTTGATGCTGTAAATCACATAAGTCTGCAATCAATATTTAATTAAGCGTTTGACGCAGAGGATATATATTTCATGCTGGCTGTGGGATGCCTTTTAATGGGGAAGCAAAGAGTTACTGAGCTGTGATGCTGAGGAGGAATCCTTTTGCGATGATTGAATACATGCAGCGTAATTCTGCCTCCCTCCTTACTGTCTGCGTTGTGACTGACAGCCACGTCTTAGAAGAGCCTGAGAAATGTGACAGAACACCACGCTCCGTGTGTCCCGTTTACTCGGAGGGATACGCTGTCGTCAGTCTCCGTCATCTTCCTCTGAGTCTGACATCACCATCATTGATGTGCCAAATGCTGCCTCCATGTGGGGGGTGGGTGAGGAGGGTGTCGCCCCCCCAACCTCCCTGTCCTCTAGAACACATCACACATTCAAGAATAAACAAAGGAAGCAGGAACAATGAGGGTAAACGCATGGTGAGAAAAGGGAAAGCAGCAAGCGAACCACACATTCAGGCGGACTTTTCGTCACTGTAGCACTTCCGCCGTCTTAAAGTGCCGATTGTGTTCGGATGAGGTCAGTTTAAAGTAGGAGGAGTGTTTGATTCATAAAGCAAGATGCTCTCAAAGAGCAGGGATTAAAAAGGCAACAAGGCGTGGCACGTTTTGGCATTTTAACGCTGTACAGACCAGTGCTGCCTTGGATGGAAAATGGAAAATGTCAAATACACAAAAACAGGATGATGAAATTCATGAAATGTTTTTTTTAACGATAAAATATTTACAAAAGTCTGCTTTAAAAATGTGTCATGTTAAATCAATAAATGATCAGTCCTCAAGTATTAGCTGGAATCAAGAGTTTGTGCAGTGCTGCAGCAGTAAACTGGTGCTGACTACACAGGTGATGCAGATGAAGCGTCAGAAAGCACAAAGGAGGTACAGCTGGACCAAAGACCAAACAGGATCCTCTGATCGCTCCTGTAGCCTAGCTGAAATCTCAGTGATTGAGTCAAATTTCTTCAGGGGATGGTGAAAAATTTTGCTCCTAAATTTCTGTCTTTGAAAACTCATGTGGAGAGCAGAACCGTGGAGGAGAGACAATCACGGAGATAGATGACTCAGTCGGTTCCTTCTCTGTTCATCATCCACAGCTGAATGTCAGTTTCACTCTCTACGGGGAGCTCAGCTTTCTCACCCTCAGGTTGGTTGGGTCTGCAAGAGTAACACACAAGCTTTTAATAAGAAACTCAAATGGATGAGTCAATGCTGGAGTGCGTAACCTTCCTTTACCTCCTAGCTTGGGGGAGTGTTCCTGGCTGCTGTTTCCTATAATTATCTGCAGACTGGGAGTCGGTACGAAGCCCTCCTGCTGCCGACTCTGATTTTTCACCAGCCTTTCCACCAGGATGATTGATGGAGAGATGATGAAGAGATGATAATTGATAAATGAACATGGTCACCAGGTTTGTTGGTTCTTTTTATATTTTGTAAAGAATGTTTAGCTGCTTTGGATTAAAATCAGCCTGATGAAACAAACTACACTACACCAATCCTCGTGTGGATGGCCTAATGAGGACGTCTGCAGGTCCTCAAGCAGCTGAAAACTCACCAGCGCCCTCTGTTGTCTTCAAACTGCAGATGGATGACGTCTCCACTTTTGATGCTGATGCTGTTTGGTCCATTTTGGGAACAGTCAGCCAAAGCCCGGTACCTGCCTGCAGACTGAAAAACAAAGAGTCAAAGCAAAGGGAATATTGAGAAGGTGCTTCTAAGGCTAAATAATTAAATAACATTCTGTTTCAAATGTGGACTCAGGTTTGGTTCACTTGTTTAATCAATGCATTTGCAGTGGTCTCTAGCAGGGAGGAATGCCTGGTAAGATGTCCTAACATAATCTGTTTAAAATTTTCACTTCCTCACTAAGTATCTGAAGGAAGGAGCATTTTGGTAACGCCTTTAAACTTGACTCATTCTGACTTGTCTAACAATGAAGTTAATAAAGGCAAGAACACTTCCTGATCTAGTCCGTTTTCCAGCCGCTTCCCCATTAGGCCGATCGGGTGAGCAAGCATTTGGAACCATTATCTCTTTTGACCAAGGTCACAATCGCTCTGCAACGCTTGTGAGTGATTTCAGGCACTACAGCCTCAGATACAAAATAGATACGCCAGCTTCCTGCCGTCACCTGAAAGGCATCTCAGACTAGACCTACAGTACACTGTCACATATTAGTTTATACAAAGTTTTATATATATATATATACACATATATATATATATATATATATATATATATATATATATTATATATATATATATATATATATATATATACACACACACACACATATATATATACACACACACACACATATATATATACACACACACACACATATATATATATATATACAGTCCCAGCTAAAAGTTTGGACACACCTTCCCATTCAATGTGTTTTCTTTATTTTCATGACCATTTACATTGAGAGATTCTCACTGAAGGCATCAAAACTATGAATAAATACATGTGCAATCGAGATAAGGAGACGTGGATGTGGGACCATGAACAGGGACGATGGAGTTTACACGTTGGACCGCGCATGGGACTGCATCGTCGGAGAGAGGAGAGCGGGCAGCAGAGGGCGACAACGTCCTCTGCTGCCCGCGGATAAACGGAGAAGGAAGTGACGCCACCATCAACGTCAGCCTGAGGAAGTTTGCAGCCACAAACGAAACATAGCAGGAAAACAGGTAAACAAAACTGCTCTGTGTTTTAAAAAAGAACTACAGCATGGAATTAGAAATACGACACAGCAAGAACACACCTAAGAAACACATGTGGAGTTATGTACTTAACCAAAAAAGGTGAAATTACTGAAAACGTGTTTTATATTCTATCTTCTAAATAGCCACCCTTTGTTCTGATTACTGCTTTACACACTCTTGGCATTCTCTTGATGAGCTTCAAGAGGTAGTCACCTGAAATGGTTTTCCAACAGTCTTGAAGGCATTCCCAGAGGTGTTTAGCACTTGTTGACCCCTAACAGAATTTCAACACAGATTTTACAAGAGAATTCTGATTGTTCTAAATATGTTTCTCCTTTATAACACGTTTTCAAAAAATGCTAAAAAAAATTGTGATAGTTATGGTTTTTCATTCAACAAAGACTTTTTAAAGAGCATGTCAAGTGCCTCAGAGTCCTTCTCCACCCACGTATCAATTTTATAAACTACAACATTAGTAGGCATTGCCTGGAAGACCGAGAGGGCGGAGCCGCGGCAGTGACGAAGACGATGGGTAACGAGACGATGCTAGCTCCCTTCACTCTGAGCAGTCATTAGAAGTGGAGGACGTTTCTCCCCCTCCTTACCCAGACACTCGAGAAGAAAGGGACCAAGTCTATTTGGAGGAGACAGGCGGACCTGAGCCTTATTGTTTTGAGCTTGTGAGTTGCCTGAAACTAGTGGAACCAACCCAACAAAACCAGCTCTGAATGGTAATTAGCCGTTAGCCATAGCATTAGATTAGCTGCAGGGTTTGGCTCCACGGCCCTAAAGAGCTAGTATTCAGCATGTTTTAGAGATTTATCTGCTTCAACACACCTGGTTTTAATCAGCAACAAATAGCTGAGCTGCTTAACAGCTAATCTAACCTGTTAAAGCAGGAAAACCACTGAAACGTGCTGGATGGCAGCTCTCCAGGAGCCCTGGGCTCAAGTTACAGTCTGCTGCATAGAAAGTTATGAAAATACCCCATGAGAAAATTATTCTGTAATGTGTTCATTTATGTTACACAATCCCAAACAGCCCACTAAAACTGCCCTGATTTCATTATTTATTTACTGATACCAGCTGCTCTCTTGGTCGTAGGTGGTCCTCTGGTGTCTGCAGGTGGTCTCCTGCTGGTGTCGTCAATCAATCAATCAAATTTTATTTCTAAAGCGCTTTTCAAACAAAGTGTGATTCAAAGTGCTTTACAAAATGACCCCAGATTCCCATAACCGGTTAAAAACATTAACAAACATATGCAAGCACACGCACGCACACACACAGACTCACACACACACACACACAAGTAAAAATTATATTAGGCTGAGTCCAGAAGAGCCAAGTATGGTAACGCAAGGAAACGCCATCAGGATCAGGAGCTTCCAGAAGAATGTGCCTTTGACTCTTTCCTCGTCTAAACAACTATTTTGTTAAATTAATTAAATAAATCTCAATTTATATATTTCCTGTTTTTGTTCATGTCCATAAATACTTAAACATGTTTGAGTTTAAAACAAGCTTTTAACAGTGAGGTGCTAGTTTAATTCATCACAATAGAGCTAGTTAAACATGCAACAATGTGATAATTCAATTAATGTAATTTATAAATATCCATTAAAATATTAAAACTGGAATCAAAATGAGATATTTGGCAGCACAAAAAACTTGTCAAACACAATATTTATTATAATAATTGTAGGCAGACAGGAGACAGAGCTGATGGAGGTTCTCAGTCATTGAAGGATGGCTGAAGGCTTTCCAGGAACAGGAGATGTGGTGTTGTCTCTTCTCTCTCTATTCTGCCAGATGAGCTGATAGGTTACAGGTGTGTGAGGACGTCCTCATGCTGTCACAACCAGATGACAGGAGTTGTCAGGTGATCAGCCAGGCTAATGATGAGATGCAGAAAGAAAACAAATCCAGAACAGTGTACAATAATATGTGGTGTTGCTCACCTTATGTGCTCTTATAGAGTTATTAACGTGTGCCTGCCTCATGGTGTAGAGTCCATATTTTGCTGAGTGTCCTGCAATTATGCAGGTTATTAGTTAATTTACTTTTGATAGCAAAGAACAAAATATTTAATGTAAAAGTTATTTACCAGGTGAATCAGCTCACACGTCACCACCAAGTGTCACAGGGCCAGAATCAGTAGCCTCTTTCATGATGCCATAATGTAATCACATACTTATTTAATTGTTAATATCTTAAAAATTCTGAAATGTTTTAATTTTTTACCTTGAACAGTTCACTGAGCTTGCACTGTCACTGAGGTGGAAGCTGGAATCAACAGCAGCCACCGCACATCTTGGTCTTTTCAGGGGTGTGGATGCTGCTCTGGGACTTTCTGGAAGATGAATTTCCATCATGGTCCCTGTGTCACAAGACACACTGTGGCTGTGAGCTCTATTCTGGGTGGCTATGTAAAAAACAAAGAAACAGAACATTTATAAATGTTTAAAAGAGCATAAAATCACATGTAACAATAATCTGTAAAACAAATTAAAACTAGAAGGTAATAAAATGTTTACATAGAAGATTATTAAAAATAATTCACCTTTGCTACAGGTAAGGCTTCACGTCAGCCTGGACAAGTACATTTTTGCAGCTAAATCAGTCTGACAGCCAGTGTCTTGGGTAGATTTAGCCTGAAAAAAAAAATAGAAGCACATTGTTGTTGGGAGTTTATAAAGTCAGATAATATACAAAAAAACTGTCAGATATAGGCGCTTTATAACATTCCTAGTGTGTGATCGTTATTATAACGTAAAAGTCAGTCACATATGATGTGGAGAGCCTGAAATGCGACCTCCTGAAAAGAATTCCTCACAGAACTGGGTCACGCTGTGGTGTAAAGCTGGATTTCACGCTGTAATGCTGTCTGTCAACTAGTGCGCGTTAGTTAGAGCCACTGTTGCAGAATTACCGACTGACACAAAAACAACCCGAATTTTCTCTGAGCCTGACAGTAATAGTCATGTGGACCGTTTTGTCGGCCAGGGCTTCGAGATATGTTCCGATTCGCCGCTGATTCTAACCTTACAACCCGTTCCACATTTTATGAACTTGACAAATTAGCCCGAGGGCAGTGCAGACTGATATTTGTTAAATTAAGTGAACCACATCTCTCAAACTTTGCATTTAGGTAGGGAATTGTCATTAGAAGATGTAAAAAATGTATTTAGCTTACTCACCTCAGACTGGAGCCCGCCGTGGTGGGGGAGCAGAGTCGGTGGGCTGCATCTAAATCGCGGAAGAGCCACGGTGGGCACGGCCTCCCTCTTCAAACGGAGGCGTGCAGAATAACCCAGTTCAAACTCCATCATGTTGGCGAAGGAATCGCGGGTAAAATGCTGGTTGCAAACTACAGCACCAGGCGGGAGCTGACTGTTTTCCAGTACACCGAATGCGCGCCATCACTGGCGCCTAATTTCTAAGTCCAGCGGAAAGGAGTGCAACTCCACAGAGCCCCCGAACCCACTACACTACACCTTCTCACCATACTAACACGATATGGAGCACTAAACCCGAACTACTTTCCTAATTACACTAACAGCCAAACACTAACTAAACTACAATATCTAACAGCCAAGCTAACACTAAATAAGTATGTATAACACTAAAAGCTATGCTAAAGACTAGGATATGCTAATGCTATATGCTAATGCTGAACTACCACTAACCGTCCTACACTCGCTTGCAAATCCAACTCCCAACTCGCCACCACAGGGCGTGGCCGAGACTCTCGATGCTTTTATAACTTTGATACAGAGCTGCTACGTACTCTACTGGTTTACATAGTATCTTACTCCTTAGGCTCTGGCTAAAGTGTATTCAAAATGTCTCAAACTCTATGTTTTAAGCTGAAGGTGGTGCCATACTGTGGAATTTAGGCAGAATTTTTAATTTTTAAAGAAAATGCACCAAAATGTTAAAATAATTAATACACACATTTAAAAGACTATTAGACACACATTTATACAGTTCATCAGCAAAAAAAAAAAAAGTTCATTTAGACGTTACTTGCTCTTTAAGTCATTTTTTATAAAATCTGCCAAATGTTATTTAAAAGATTTGAAACACAATAAATAATAAATCTGACAGATTTTTCCAATGTCAATATGTGGCAAAAATAAAAAAGTGGATTTTTTTTATTTCCTAGACTATTAGATTTAATAATATTTTTAGAATTGCTTTTAAAATATGAGAAGATTAATCACTTTTACAAAGTCCCTTTTGCTCAAGTCATAAAGGGTTTACTAACAAGAACTATGCATTTTTTTATTGGAATTGCTAATAAAATATATAAAATGGCTTAGAAAATTATTTGTCATAACTGGAGATATTCATAACTCATCATTTTCCAGGGCTAAAGGCTGTGGCCAAGTCCACTAAGCTCAGCTTTTAAGATGGATATGTTCTGCTCATATACTGCTTAAAAAAATAAAGGGAACACTTAAACAGCACAATGTTTGTCACTTCTGTGAAATCAAACTGAGTGACAACCCGTTTCATCTGCTGTTATGCAAATGGAAAAGACAACAGGTGGAAATTGTAGGTAATTAGCAAGACATCCCCAATAAGAGTGGTTCTGCAGGTGGTGACCACAGGCCGAGGAAAGGGCCGGGAAAACTGAGGAGAGCAAGTGTTGGGTTTGGACCGGTGTGTTTGGTTGTGGCTTGTCAGTTTAGTTTAGGCTCGGGTCGTCGGCCAACGGCCTGTATGGGCCCGGTAAGACGGCGGTCCAGCTTCGCTTTTGCCTCAGTTATGGTGGAGGATGGGGCAGAGGAGAGCAAGTAAGGCTGTTCAGTCGGTTGTGACGGGGGCGGCAAAGAGGGACCGTGGGCAGTGATGGCGCATCAGTTCAATTCAGAAATACTTTATTAATCCCAGAGGGAAATTGATTAAGTGTAATTATTTTAAATTTTTATATTTATTTAAATTAATTGATTATTGGATGGTGATGTGGATCCGCAGCTGAAGCAGCTGAGGACTGTAGAGGGGGGCTTTGTGGTCCATATACGTGCGGCGGGTGGGACGCGTTTTCCTACCACTAACCCGCTGGCAGTGTCCAGGGAGCTGAGAGGGATGATTGGTGATGTGACAGACGCAATGATTGTTTTCTGTGGGTTGTTGGTGGTGGTCTGTCGGACAAAGACCCAGCTCCACTGGGCCCTGGAGCTTGAGAAGTTCCTGGTGGTGAGTGTAGAAGTCTCGGTCGGGATTGGTTAAGGGGGTGGTTTATGGTGTCTCTAATGACGTTACTGAGGTGGAGGTGGTGGACGCCATGAGTGGAGAGGCGGTGGTGGCAGTGCAGCGTTTGGGTTGTGATAAGTGAGGGTCCACTCCGATGTTAATTAGTTTTGACGCAGTGGAGCTCCCGGCTCCTGTCAAGTTGGGCTATCTTAGCTTTCCAGTTAGGGCTTTTGAGGAGCCTCCCTTGAGGAGCTTTGAGTGTCAGGGCTTTGGTCATGTGGCCGGAGTCTGTGTGGAGGGGTTGAGGTGTCAGAAGTGTGGGGGCGACCATGAGGGCAAGCTTTGTGATCTTCCACTTCGCTGTTGTAATTGTGGTGGGGCTCATCGGGCGGCTTATACAGGTTGAGTGTCGTATAGGACAGCAGTGGAGGTGGAAAAGTATCCGGCAGAGCGTAAACTTTCTTACGCTGAGGCGTTGCATTGTGTGGGGGTTCGGGGTGGTGGAGCGTCAGGGCCTTGTGCTGGGTCTCAGTCTACTGGTGGTGGGGATGAGGGGGTGGTGGTTGTGAGGGATAAGAGACAGTTTCTGGCATTTCTAGTGGAGGCCTTGTGGAGGGTGAAGCATGTGGCATCAAACATGTCCCACGTGGCTCACGAGGTGACTGCGGCTGCAGGGGCCTTTCTGGGCTTCAGTGGCGTGTCCACTGAGGAAGTTTGGGGGACTGCGTGCTTGCGGGGGACTGGGAGCTCTAGGACTACAGAGGACCGAGAGTTGCCCAAGGTGGTGGAAGTTGATGATAAGGGAGGGGGAGTGAGCGTGGGGTGAGCCTCCCTGTGGGGTTAGGGTGTGTTCACAAGGGTGTGTGTTGGTAGGGGGGTTGTATTGGCGGTGGTGTGGGGGGGGGGGGGGGGTAGTGTGCTTTTTGTGTGTGATGGGTTGTGCAGATTCGGCGGTGGGGGTGGTTGTTGTGGCAGCAATACGCCTTTTAGGTGTCCAGCCTGCCTAATTCATGGAAGAAGAAGAAGAAGTGACCACAGGCCACTTCTCAGTTCCTCAGCTTTATGACTGATGTTTTGGTCACTTTTGAATGCTGGTGGTGCTTTCACTCTAATGGAAGCATGAGACTACAACACACACAAGTGGCTCAGGTAGTGAAGCTCATCCAAGATGGCACATCAAGGTCAATTGTATTTATCTAGCTAATTTAAAACAGCTGTTGCAGACCAAAGTGCTTCAGTGACACTAGATTAAAATAGAGAAAACTAAGTAAAATTTGGCAAGAAAAAATGTTCATTAATGCGAGCTGTGGCAAAAAGTTTTGCCGTTTCTGTCAGTGTAGTGTCCAGAGCATGGAGGCGCCACCTGGAGACAGGCCAGTACATCAGATGTTGTGGAGGAGGCCGTAGGAGGGCAACAACCCAGCAGCAGGGCTACGCCTTTGGGCAAGGAGGATCAGGAGGAGCACTGCCAGGGTCCTGCAAAATGAGCTGCAGCAGGACACAAATGTGCATTTCTCTGCTCAAACGATCAGAAACCGACTCCATGAGGGTGGTGTCAGGGTCCAACGTCTGCAGGTGGGGGTTGTGCTTACAGCCCAGCACCGTGCAGGATGAACAGCAAGATCGGCAAAGGGAGGTCATGCAGGCATGTGGAGGCCACACACACACACACACACACACACACACACACACACACACTACTGAGCCTCATTTTAACTGGTTTTAAGGACATTACATCAAAGTTGGAACAGCCTGCAGTGTGTTTTTACACATTCAACTATGTGAAAAACAAAGTATTTAATAAGATTTAATTTAATTTAATTTAATTAATTTAATAAGATATAAGATGTCTTATTTTTGTTTTCCCTTTTATTTATTTATGTTTACCAGTTTCGTGTTTTGTTTCTCCTCTGTCTCGGTTGCCAGGTGGAAGGCATCCTGGCCTCCAGACCACTCCTCCAGACCTTCACACACGTCCACGGAGTGATGAGCTCCGGGCCAACCTGAGAAACAGATCCTGCTGTTAAAACACACACAAGGACTCTTTCTCTGCAGAACGACACACCTAAAAAGCACCATGTAGATACTTAGTAACTACACCAAAATTCAAATCACCCTTTTTTTCACTTACTGGGAAATTAACAAGAACGTCGAATCAAAAGCTAATCTCAAGAGCTGGACCCTTTTCCCCCAAAGTCCTCGATGTACATGGTTCTTCAGGTCAAAGTACACCTGAACCGCTGAAGGTGAGAAGTCAAATGACTAAATTAGTTCATGATTATGATCACTGCTGCAAGTTTGCAAAGAAACCATGATTTACATAAACTTCAAGATTTTATTTTGTTGTGATTTTGTTACTAAGTATCTACTTGATTAGGTGAAATGAAGTTTCAGAAATGACATGACTCACTCCTACGGTTGGGCTGGGGTTTGGGGGAATGAGGCTGGGGCTCTGGACTGCTCCGACCTGACTCTGTGTCCTCTGAGCTCACTGATGCTCTCTGCTGTTTGCTGGGGGAATAAAATTAAAAAACAAAAACACTTGGAATGGAGAAATCAGTCACACCCAGGACAGCAGCTGTCCCCGTTTATTAAATCTGAAGTCAGTAAAACTGCTCCCAGATTCATGTCAGGAACAACTCCATCCTGATGACTCATATAACCAGTTAGACACCAAACAGCGCAGGACACTCAGCAGCCATCTGTGTATGGAAGGTTAAAAATGAGCACAAACTAGGAAGGTCTTGTCTCGATTTGTTAAATTTGATCCTCTCTTTGGTGAAGCAGTAAATGTTCAGAAAACATTTTGGAGCTAATTTGATTTTAGAGCTGCTTAATCAGATCGCACAAAGAAAGCCCCCTCTTAAAACATTACTGCCATGTTTAATTTATTCAAAGGAATTTAAGATATTCTGTTTTTCCTTTGCATTTCATGCAATACTGCAAATCTGAGATGGAGAAACAAGGAATTCATTCAAGATGTTGTGTTAGGAAGCCATGGAGGAGCGATCAAGACACCGAGACAGCAGAGAAGAGAGTCAGTCATGAACCACAATGAAGGAGATTAAACAAAACAGAGGAGTGGGTTAGCGTTGGGGTAGGGGAGGTGGTATAGCTGACGATCAGTATGCAAACACAGCAGCCTAAAGGTTTCCTGTGCTCATGCCATGGTGAGCCGGGCCGGGCGAGACTGAGTTTACCACTGAGCGTTACAGCAGGTCAGTGGCGCTGGGAGCAGTGGGGGCGCGGCTGGGGCCGTTGCCGGGGGCTTCGGGGACGGGGGCTCCGGGACCTCAGGCACAGAAACACGTCAGCTGACAGGGAGACAAAGTCCAGCCCCGGCAGACAGCCCCTGGGATCCCCTCTGGACGGCCGCATGCCCCTGCAGGAGGGGGATTCGGAGGAGTGGGGATAGGCAACTAAACAGCAGTGAACATGAAGAGAGAAGGGCTTGTGCCCATCATCACACACACACTCAGACACACACAATGTAACAGGACAACATGAAATGAGTTATGTTCACTCCAGCTTTATTCAAACACGATACGGCAAGTATCCTAGCTACAGCTGCATGTGTGTGTGTTTGACAAAGGTCTCTGTTCGCGCTGCTCGTGTTAAATAGTGAGTTTTTGTTCAGATGAAGGCACTGACCTCTCAGAGAGGGATGGAGAAAGCTGCATGCGCTCAACCACTGGGCCTTGCTGATGTGCTTCATCTATCAAGGAAGGAAGGAAGTATTAATGAAGACTCAATAAATCTGATTTCTCTGATTGGTCAATTACTGATAAAGCTGTATATTGGTCAAGTCCAATCACCACCCAGATGGTTGATATATCTCTATTATTTGAGAAAAGAAAAGCACACCTCAAAAGAACATGCAAGATCCAGACCAGGCAGTCCATGAAGAAGGAGGTCTGTGGTTCACAGCTTTGTACCAAACTCAGACACGCATTGTGCTGTTTCAGCAAAAAAGGTGATTCTTAAGGCAGAACCACCATTCAGCCTTATTATTTCAAGATATATAAGTTAAATAAAAAATAAAATAGACAATGCTTTCATTTAAGTCTCTAGATGTAACTGCATGAGAAGCTGTCATACTACCTTAAAAATAAACGAGATATCAAACATAACTAATACCAAATCAGTGCAGAAACTACAAACTTCTCTGATAAAAACAACATTGAAGACATGTTTTCTTGTCACATTTTGGCTTAGATCTGGGGAAAACCTGCATGGTAATACCACTGAGGCTGTTTACGGGGCGCAGAGTCCTGCCTGCAGCGCAGACCTGTTTGCTACTGCAGCTACACGACAAAGAGGAGAACAAAACAACATCTTGAACATTGTAAAGGTTTCCTTTTCTCTTCAACACTTCTCAGGTTGAATGAGGAAGAGTAATTCAACAAGAAGCTTAAACAAGCCTCTCTTCCTTTATGTTTCTCATTTTAGTGTTCTTGTAAGAATGACATTGGTTTGTATTTGCTAAATTTAATAAAGTTTGGTGACTTTTATTGAACTTCCTTTGTGTGTCACAGACTGAACAAGACAATTACATGAATATTTAATTGATTGTTCGATTTTAGGAAACACTCCTAAAGGATGTGGGCACTTTGGGATGTGGGCACTTTCATGCAAAGAGAAACTCTTGATCATATGGAGTTGTTGGACTCAATAGTGAGGATTAATTCACAGCTCAGGCTGTTGGGGAAACATTAAAGTGTTTGCCAATAAAAACTAAAGTTTATCACAGACCTCTCAGCAGCTTCTGCTGGTTGGTTAGTATCCGTCTGAGCTCGTTGAGCCAGGCCATCTTCACCTCCACCGTAGGAGCCTAGAAAAGAGCACAACTCTGTGTGGATAACAAAACTTTGTTTCTTCAGAATACTCATCATATTTATAGACTTTTAAAAGCAACACCAAAGAGTTTTTAACACTTTCAACCATCGCTATCAAACTGCTTTAGATTATTTGTGAGCCACAACATTGAGCGACTTCACATTGGACAGCACTCTGTAGCCCTCTGCTGACCAGAAACTGCATTTAAGAATTTCGTGGTTTGGGTAGGTGCACTAGTGGGAGGTTTCCGTAGATATGTACATAAACACTTGATGGAGAAAGCGGGAGTCGAGGGCGTATCTAAACTGCGGCCATCTTATCTCAGACAGCAGGCCCTCCGCTCACAATGGTAGCAGCTGGAAGGTGAGCGATCAGCTTAAACAAAAACACTCTTAACTCGATGAAATATTAATGGATTTACAAGCGGTTTGCCTTATTACAAAGCTTAGAATACATGAGCTTGAGACAATATACTTGCATATGTTGAAATTAACGCTGTTGCACTTGAAATTGAAAATTGTGAACCATAACTATTTGCATGTTATTCAGGTTGAGACCACAATCGATATTTTATGTGGTTTTACAAAACCAATAACGATTTTACGACAGCCCAATTGTTGTGTAAATGTCTGTTTGTGAATGTTTTTGTATTTATTAGCTGTCTAACTTGGCTTAGAGATGATGAGGCTACAGTAAGTGGGTGCACTGCTTAGCAAAACAAAGTTACCTCAGGGGGAGTCGCTCGTTTTATTAAATGATTGAATGCTAAATTGCCTGTGATTTTAAAGCGTTTTGGTTTGTTACACAAAACTTATACTGAGATATATTAAAACAGGACATTTCTGGATTTGTGTTTGCAGAAATAAACCTCTATTAATTGTGAAGCTTGAGGATCAACATGCCTGACTGTGCAGCCTACGGGTGCTCGAATCGCCGCTGTGACAAATCGAGACAACGTGGGATCACCTTTCATCTGTAGCTGTTGCAAAGAAAACCTGTATTTGTACATTATTCAGTCTGTTAATTGTTTTTATGTCAATAAAATTATTTGAAACTGCTGTTCCATTGCTGCTGCTGCTACCTTCTTCTATACACTGTTTATTTGGTTTTATGAATGTTGAAAATCTCCTTCACAAGATCAATCCTTTACCCATCTATCTTATTTATTACGGTAATACATCTTATTTATTAACCTAATCCATTTTTTGACTATTTCTTAACTTTTTCAGAAAGCATTTCCAAAGAGCCTATTATTAATCAAAGAAAGTCAATAAATAAGAAAACAAAAGTCAAAAAATAGTGAAAATACAAAATAATTTGCTGGGTTAACTTTTATGGCTGGCGGGCCGGTTCTGGCTGACAAATTTATTTATTTTTATTTATTTATTTTTTTTACCAGCTGGAGGAAGAAGTGGAAAGCTCATTAAATTTTCATTTAAAGTTCAGATTTTTTGTAGTATTTCATTAAATACATTTAATTTGCTGTAAGAGATTTTCATAGATTATTCCAGAAATAATGAGCAAATCATCTTTCGTCAACTATTCGAATCTAAAAATCAACCAAATATCACCACCGACTGTCCTCAAACACCTTACCTGAACTACATAAACCTCTTCCCTGCCACTGTACCAGACCTCAAACTTCTTCACATCTCCCTTGACGTTCTCTGTGATCCCCACCGCAGTCATCTGCCAAGAGACAAACACACAGCTTCAGGAAGAGCAACACCGCCACATTTACATCATCTAATTCATCAGTCCCGTCTTAACCCAAAAATATTTGCTCTCGTGTTCAAGCCCCCCTCTAGATGGTGGTTTCCTTCCTGCATCCTCAATAATAATTCAAGAGCAGCAGATGTGATGTTCTGCTCATCATATGCAAAAGAAAAACATGGATACACTGGGATCAAACTTGCTGTTATTTGTTTATATTGTATGACCAAAGAGAGAGAATTTGTTTCAAAATTTGAATACATTTAAATAAGTCAATGAGTAAGTTTGGTCTGTAAATTTTTGGGGCAACAATTGTAAAGAGAAAAAAACAAAAATGTAAATGACAGCATTGTTATTTAAAGCATGTTTACTGATTTAATTTTTTTCCCTCCAAAATTAAACTCCTGAACAAAATTGATCTGAGCAAAGATTCCACCTTTTTATAGCAGGGGTGTGTTTTCCAAAATCTCCAGTAATTTCTTTAATATTTTATAAAAACAAACACAGACTGACCTTGAGACAGTGCTTGAAGCTGTAGGAGGGGGTCTTGTTGTTACCTTCTCCGTGCTCCTCCCTACGTTTGCACAGCAGCAGAGCTTTCTCGTACAGGAAGAAGTGCCTCTGCATCGGCTTAAAGCGAGCCAGCTCCTTCATGCGTGTGGGTCCTCTCTTATGGCTGATCCACACACTGAAGGAGCCCTGCATCAGCACCCGACCTAGCGCACAGATGTCACCCTGTGTGTGATGACACCGCCAGTTTATACTACACAAATATTTAGAGCACATTTATCTGAAATCATATAAGATTAAATTATTTTTCACCTCATATCCTGTGATGGATATCTGATGCATTGAGTCGTTGACTGATTTGAGCAGGTCCAGCATGGCTGTCAGCGCCCCCTGCAGTTCAGATGTGCCCTCACAATCTGGACTGTATTTTAGCAGCTCCTGGAAATTATGTAAATGTGGATGATGGCAAAAATAAGGAGAGGCACACACAGACATAGACACATTTTTAGTACTTGATTTTTTTTGCGTTATTAAAACTACAAATTTGAGGACGGACTTCTGGAAGAAAACTTTCAAACCTTGAGCAGCAGCTGGTATTTGGTGAGACGCTGGACTGGTTTCAGCAGATAGGAGTCCAGGCCCAGCTTGTGCTCCAGCTTTGTTTGACACTCCTTCATTCAGAAAACGACAAATCACAGCACTTCAAGTCTAAGCTGGTGTACACACGATGTTTACTCAGCTGCGATCATATCATTTAAAGCCCTTGTGCATGATGCTGAAATGGTGTAAGAATCAAAAGCAGACTGCGACAATGACACAACTCACATGAAAAAAGGCACAGTCTGAGAATTGTCTCCACAGTGCTTCAGATCGGGGTTTGTTCTGACAGTACCACTCATACATCTGGAAGTTTTCCTTCTGGAGAAACAGAAGTATCCGTGAAATCAACAACATGAATGGTAAAAATTAGAATATAGCAATAAAATAAAACCTCTGATCATCTCACCCGCTCAAGAAAACACGCTCCGACGGTTTCAGGAGCCTCCAGACATCCTTCCAGATCCTGAAGGAAAACCCTGAATGATCAGGGAAACACATAAATAAATACTGAACCTTCTGTCCAATCTTAGCACAACATCTGGCTTTAATGCAGTCCCTCTATAAAAACATGATGCTTGTTATATTTATAAATGACTTTGAGTCTTTTTTCCTGATATTTGGACATCTCAGCAGGGATTGGCTAACAACGCAACTCAACCACTGACTATGTTTACGCTGGAATGTTGATGTTTTTCTCCCCAAAGAACACAATGGAGGAGTTCTGCTGTGTGGTGGAGTTGCTAATGCTAATGGTTGGTTTCTACTAGCCAAGACATCCTCTGCTGTTTCCTGGATGCTAAACCAACAACAGCCTTTCCCGTCGTGAGTAAGAATGGGTGAGTCCATGAATGTTAAGTGACAGTGTGATGCAGATCTTTCAGGATTTTCTAATCCTAGAGTTTCATCGTCTGTTTTCTATCAGAAGCTAATGCAGGAGATAGGTGTAGGAGACTATTTTCATGTTCAGCCTGCATGAAAAGCTCAGAGAGACTCGTTATTTTCAGAAATAACCAGTAAAAATGTTTTTTTCTGTGTTCCACACCTTTAACTCTACAACTAAATTATTCTGTACTTCTACTAAATTTATTTTTTTAAATGCAACCCTTTCATCAGCTTCTGTGGAAATAAATGGCAGCAGCCACTAATGATTTAGAAAACTGTTTAGGAAACTTTGGTTTCTTTCTGCAGTTACAAGACAATCAAGAAAATTTTAATTTTCCCAGAGGGCTTGCGTGCGTGCGTGTGTGTGTGTGTGTGTGTGTGTGTGTGTGTGTGTGTGTGTGTGTGTGTGTGTGTGTGTGTGTGTGTATGTGTGTGTGTGTATGTGTGTGTGTGCCTGCGTGCGTGTGCGTGTGTGTGTGTGTGTGTGTGTGTGTGTGTGTGTGTGTGTGTGTGTGTGTGTGTGCGTGCGTGTGTGTGTGTCTGTGCGTGCGCACACATGCGTGTGTATGTGTGTGTGTGTGTGCGTGCGTGCGTGCGTGTGTGTATGTGTGTCTGTGTGTGCGTGTGTGTATGTGTGTGTGTGTGTGCGTGCGTGCGTGCGTGTGTGTATGTGTGTCTGTGTGTGCGTGTGTGCGCACACATGCGCGTCTGTGTGTGCGTGTGAAGAGAGAGCTGAGCAAAAAGGCAAAGTTCTTGATTTACTGGTCAATCTACATTCCAACTCTCACCTATGGCCACAAGCTTTGGGCAGTTAAAGAAAAACTACAATGAACAACAAAAAGACTTTCTGTATGTTCAGATGGGTCTCTTTGTACTGTGACTGATTAAAATAACACACCTGCTGTGGAAATTATAGATCTCAGGCATGTTTCCAAAGAGAAGATCTCTCTTACTACGAAGGATTGGAGGTAGAAGCCCCGACAGAACCGGGTTGTCCATTTCCGCCCTGTAACCCTGTAACAAACAAAGTGTTTTCTGCTAAAATAATACTAAAGTATCAACAGAGTTACACCAGCAGCAAGCATTTGAGTTGTGACCTAAAAGTTACTATTTCTCCATTTTTACCAGGAATATCAGAAACTCTCCTACCAGCAGCACCGACAGCAGCTCGTCCACATAGATTCTTTCAGTCTCTATGAGCTCTCTCATCACATGACTGTGACACGTAAACAGACGAACAGAGTTCAAGGTCAGTGCAGAGTAAAGATAATCACAGAGGAAATGACAACAGAAGCAGCACAGAGGGCAGAGACAGGTGGACAGACACGTCCTCCAACCCCTCCTCACCGCTTTAGGAGGTCCGGGCTGTCGTCTCCATCCAGACTGTAGGAAACACAGCTCCGGCTCTCCTGGTAGTCGTGGATCACCTCGATCTGAATACAAGAGAAGTTCAGCTCACATTCTTCTATCAAATTACAGGACCAAACAAGAAGTTAGCAGAGAATATGACGACACAATAAATGTTTGTTTTTACTTACTTTTCTAGTGTTAGGACTCTTTCGTGATGATTTCTTTCCAGGAAGGGAAATGTCAAAGGTAAACTTCATACCATCACCTGTGAAATCAGCAGCCACGTATTAGCACACAAGGTGGTCGTTTTGAGAGGATGATTCATTCATGAGCTAAAGTAAATAGTTTTTTAATGACTTTTTTGATAATTTGATAGAGGTGATCTAGACCCGCGTAACAGCTCACGTCGCTAAAAGAAAACACACAACATAAACTGGCTGTGATGGAGATTTCACACCTGAACAGCAACCGGCTACCTGCTCTGCAGCAGAAGGAGCCTGAAGAGGTTTCAGCAGAAATGTGATCATGTGTTTTGTTACAGTTATTACTTATGCGCATGTGTCAGGTTTTAAATTTGTGCATGACACATTGCACCTGATCAAATGAGTCAAAAAAACACTCAATTAAATAGTCATAGCTGATATTAACATTACACTCTTAATAAAAATGCATCTAATAGAGAACACTTAAAAGTTATTTAATGCTTTTGAATCACAGATAGTTCAACTACCACCACACAAAGCAGCAGGTATTTCAAGTTGACTGATTGCTCTGTCTGCTCCTGTTTGTGCTTCTACAAGATCCCTGCAAATGGCTAAGTGGCTACGGCCATCAGAGCAAACTCCAGTGCTGTACAGGTAACATGGTGACTAAAGAAAATGCATGAGGAGGAGTGACACTGGGGCCATAATAAAATAAGTTAGACAAGGTGTCGCATGTGACCTTGAAAAGAAGGATTTGTAGAAGTTAAGTCAGTGAACGTCAACTGGGGGTGCGCGGGCCACGCCCAGACCCCCATTATTACTGAATCAGGAATGGAGAAAATGCATCTTCTACTTTTATCTATATCAAAATAAACAAACTGAAAAACAGCCAATGAGCTATGCCCTCAGCTCTCATTCAACATTTTTTTTATTTAATAGAATCTCAGTTTTTGCACTTTCCACTATAATAGAGCATAATTGGAGTGTCTCCACTAAACCGTGCTCACAGGCAGAAAGCAAACCAATAAAGAATATTTAACAGGTTGGTAGGCAGAACCAGCTAAAGAGATTATAATTAATTAAATAAGCTGAATAAATGAAATAAAGTTACATAGTTTCCTTGGAGGAAAATAACTCAAGATTAAGCACTTTTTGGCAAAGAGCATGATCGAAGTGCAAAGTCAAAGTGATGGAGAGGGGAACCGCTTCACAAATAAGATGCCTAATATGTCATGGTTGCCCCCTAGTGGCTTGTGTTAATAAAATAAATGTGAACATGAACACTGATAAATGCTAAAAGAAAATAGAAATTTGGAAGGCAAGTTATTACATCAAGTATGAATATATTAAAATAACAATAATAATTGAAATTTATTTTAGAGGAGCATCTGGCCCATGCTCTGCGTGATGAATATAAAAGAAGAGTTTGTTAGTATAAACATCATCAATTTAAACAGTTTAACTACTGATGTTCAGGCCAACCATTTGTTAGTGCATGTTTTAGTGCCTCTATGAGCGTGTGACTAACTTAGATTTGTTCTTTTTAACTATGAAACACAACCCTCGCCAGTGTGTGTGTGTGTGTGTGTGTGTGTGTGTGTGTGTGCGTGCGTGCGTGCGTGCGTGCGTGCGTGTGTGTGTGTCGTACTGTGTTTTGGGGAGAAAAGTGGCGACTTGGAGCGTGGTGTGTTGTCAGGTCTGGGGGTCACCAGCTGGACTGGTCTCACATGTTTATCAGCCAGCTTCCTTAGACAAGCTTGTCGGTTCTGGATCATCTGCTGCACGGCTGCATGCTTCTCAAACATCCTCCCAATCTGAGCCTAACAGAGATGTTAAAAGCAGGAAGAAAGTGAAAAATAATAAGATAAACACGTTTGCTGTAGCCTTCAGTTTCATCATGAGGTTGGTTTCTGTTGTATCCAAAGGGCCGTAGCAGTGGAGTGACCTGCAGCTGAGGCGTGATGACCGCCTCGTACTCCATGGACAGAACCTCAAGACTTGAGCTCAGCATGGACGGCGCCACCTCCAGGAACTTCTCAATTTCCCTCAAAGCCACCTGGGCTCCTTCCTTAGACTGAGACTTATCTACAAGCTGATTGGCTAACATGTATGCGCCATCATCACACCATGTTTGGGCCTGAAGAGAGAGAGAGAGGCCACACACAGGTTTCCCACAGACACTTCATACTACTAGTTAAGACCAATGACTGCATATTGCTGAATACCTGCCCAAGACAGAGCAGCAGCTGGTGTGTTTGCATCAGGAACGAGTGTTTGGTCTTTAAAGCAGCAGAGAGAGAATCACAGCGATGACGAAGCTCATTGCAGCGCTGCATGATGAGAGCCAAGGCGTAGTGGTGACCTGCGGACAGCTGGTGTCCATGGAGGATGATGATCTGGGCTCGAGACATCACTTCCTGATTGATCCAATGAGGAAACACAAACTGGTAAACAAAATCTAAAAAAATTACTGAAGACTGCACAGAAGTCTCCATCTTTAAGATCAGACTTTGACAGTGTAAGAATCAAACCTGTGAGTTAGACTCCAGACAGTCGAGCTTTTTGAGAGCCACCTCAGCTTGAGCCAGCGTGTTCACATTTAAGGACAATTCCTTTTCCTGACCCATGAGATGCTCCAAACATAAATCCATCTAAACCAAAGAAACACACCACATGAACCAACATTATATCAGCTCAACTAGATTTTGGACTTTGTTCAATTTTTTTGCTGCTAATTCCTTTAGACCGCAGAGATTTACCAACATATTTTAACAATATCACTGTTTTTGTCACAATGTCTCTAATTTGAAAACAAAGGATGCAACTATTTCAAGAAAATAACTAATATTTGAGCTTTTATATTGTTTATTTTTCGTGGTTTTATAAACATGAATTTTGAAATACGTAAGAAATCTCTTGAAGAGCTCTAAATGATCAAATCTGAGTATAAAACTGCAGCAAATTCCTATTAAATCTACAGTGCATGAAAGCTGGTGTTTTACCTCTTGAAAGCTTTGCTCATATCTGAGCAGCTGAAGGTGCTGATGGAGTTTCAGATGGTGTTTCTCAAAGAAACCATCGAAGGCTGATTCCATGTCTCTGAGCTGAGCAAGGAGCCTAAAAGGTCAACACTCTCTATAAGAAATCATCATCTCCACTGTAAAACTTTCAGTTAATAGCACTAGACGTAAATATTTTCAATAAATGTAGGAATATAGGGGATTTCTTTTTACCTCTGCACTGTCTCCCAGTCCAGCTTCACATCCCACTGGGAGTCATCCACCTTCCCGGTAGTTTCCAGGTTGGCGAGAAGATGACGACCCTCTTTTGAAACGGATCTGATGGCGTCCTGTCATACAAAGAATGTTTTTACAACAGAAAACGACATCTGCCCAATAGTGTATGGTAATGCACCTTGCATGAAGCTTTACCTTGAGTTTTCTGTACTTTTCCGTGTGAATCTCAAGGAGATGTTCGATGGCTTTCCCCTCATCTGGCAGCTCCGTCTCTGCCACCTCAGTCCCAAACCCCTGCAGCATCTGAGCGATGTCTTTCACCGTTACAGCAAAACTTTCAATCGCCTGCAATGGAATTAAAATCAGGGCAGAACATATACTGTGAACACAGGTATATACATGCACCGAGACAATTGAGGATGAATTGTTAGCAACTTTACCACAAAAACAAAGTACAAAGGAATCTGTTTACTGTTCGTAAAACGATCCAGTCGCTGTGGCAGTAGTCCAAAGTGCCTCCAAACTCAGACGTCAGCTGATTCTCATCAATGTAGCGCAGCAGGTCTGTGACAGAGCTCAGCATCACCACCTGAACATGGAGACACCACCTCAGGCCTCACAAAAAACATCAACTTCACTGTACATTTGACTTCTCGATTAGAACGGTGCTGAAGGTGGTTTGGAATGTTAAAACTGAAATCTGTGTTTGTTACATTTACCACACATTATTGGACTGAAGGAGCCCCTGGTTTAGCAGCAGGAGTGTGGTATACCTTGTTGTGAAGTGAGACATATTTGTTAACCGGTGAGGAGCTGCCTTACGGGCATCTTTAGCATGAAGTCATCCTGGCTGAAGCGGAAGCCGATATCTGTAACGGTACGGTGGAAGAAGCTGGTGGGTCGAAGCACCAGAACCAGGTGGAGGTTTCCAGGAAAGGAGGCCTGGGTGAAGGAGGAAAAAATATATATTCTTAGCCAACTCAGTGGCCTGGTGGTATGAGTGTCCACCCTGAAACAGTGAGATCATGAGATCAAATCCACCGAAAACGATTCCGTCCGTACCAGAGACTTTAAAAATGGAACCCAATGCCTCCCCGCTTAACACTCAGCATTAAGGGGTTCGACTGAGAGTTTAAACCTCCACATGGTTCCCAACCAAGTGCTGCCGTGTCTGCAGCTAACCACAACCCCAGAGGGTGGGTCAAATGCAGACGACAAATTTCACACGCCAGTGTGACAATTAGACTTTAACACTCACACACTCTCCTAGAGATTTTGGGAAAACATACATGCATAGTTAGGTTTTAACACATGAGGGGTAATTAATAACCCTTGTTTGTTTAAAAATAAGAAATAAAGAGGTTCAGATGATACTTTAAGATTTACTATCACATCAACGGATGGTTCAACCACTATTTACTCATCTTTAAGGCACTTTCAAGTCATTACCTTGCAGAACAGCTGTGTAACAGTCTATTATGCATGAGAGGAAGTGATGACTGCTGTATATCACCACTGATGCCTAACTCTATAACTCATCCTTGTATTATTTATACAGTACTTCATAAATCAGTGGGATCCAAACTGGAAAACATGCATAAAACAAAGCCAGACATTTAAAATAATGACAGCGGCTGCATGAGGGACAACACAAGTAAAGATGCATTTTATATAAATTACTTAAGGATCACGCATAATTACTGTTGAAATAGCTTTATTGCTGAAAGCCTTCAGCTCCACCATTAATCTCGTATTGGCTCGACCTTCTTGTTTCCGAGATAAACATCAATCTAAAATGTCAGCAGTCTGGCGGCTTTCCTTTGGGACACGCGCTCCTAAACACACTAACTCACTCACTCGCTCACGCACACAGCATGACTAAGCAGAAACGCTCCCAGCGCCGCAGTGCCACCGCAGCAGAGGCGCCCTGCGCCGCTGCCGCATTCAGCCCGTCTCCAAACTTCCCCAAAAACTCTTTAAAGGATGAATAAATGAGTCCAGCTCTCGTTACCAGGTTCCTCTGGGTGTGCGGCATTCGTCGGCGGTACGAGTAATCGTTCATGGTATCAGAAGTCCTCGTTGCCAGTCCCGCCTGACTGATAAGTTAAAGCTCCCTCCGAGCGCCCGGAAAGAGCCGCAGCGCCGCTGCTGCCGCTCCGACGGAAGGCGGCAGGCAGCCTCACTGCAGCCCTCCTCCTCTTCTTCATCCTCTTCATCCTTCCCTCACCGGAGCTTCCAGCGTCATCACACAGTTTTTGCTAACTCATTCGTTTCCATCAACATGACGAGAGACACGTAGAAAGGTCCCCTTGAAAACAATGCGTCACTCGAAGCCGGAGAAGAGTCAAAAACAGGTTGAAATTGACGTGTTTTCAGCACGAGGGACAGCTCCTCTCTATAGGTGCAAGTACGCTGCAGGTCATAAAAAGATCATAACTCCATTTCAAGCAGGCTTTTATGGGATTAAATAGGTTTTCATGGATAATTTTAGTTGTATAGTGCCTTAGAGAACTCTAAAGTGCTTTACACTACAGGGAATCATTCATCCTCTCGCACATCAATTGTGATGAGCTACATTGTAGCTACAGCTGCCCTGGGGCACACTGACAGTGGTGAGGTCCATCCAAACATTCTTCCCCAAGTACACAACAAAGTAAGTGACAGACCAAGACAGAGCCTGGGTTTCAACCAGCAAATCACTGTTTACAGCGCAAACAACCCGAGCCACAATGGCCATCTTCAGTGTGTATTGTGAACGACTTCAAGACACTAACAAAAACAAATTTAACTCAAGGTCTTTTAATAATGGCAGCACTGAAGCTATTATTGTGTTTGTTAATGTTGATCATCTGTTGCAGACTTTTTGGTTTGTGCTGACTCCCCAAAATTACCCAGTTGTCCATGAACATCCAATGATTACTGCCCGAGTTCAGTTTTAAAGTGCTACTATGCACCTTTTTCATATTTTTTAATGATTTTATGAGCCACTATGTGCTCAAATGACCTTTTGAGGGTTAATGAAAACCACCCAGCCCCTATCGCCCCCTGCAGCCAGAATACAGCTTTTACAACTCCAGAGTGCCGGTCCAGTCTGTTGGATTCGGGGGAAAAATGGAGCTGACATAGTTGGTGCTGCAGTCTGGTTCCAGCATGTTTTAGATCATGAGCACAGCCGATTTGTTTATTTAGTGATGAAGCACTCCTGTAGATACTAAAGAAGGCTGGGGAGACATTTCAGCTTTTAGATTAAGGCGTTAAAAAGATGAAAGCACAGTGAGAAGATATATTTTGCTTTCGGTTCTTCCAAACAGACACTAGGGGGTGCTAAAGGCCAACCGAAATTGTTAAGTCTCCCTTTAATTGAGAGGCACTGGCTGCAGACCTCCACTGCCAGGCTGCTTCCGGTGGAGGCTCCACTGTCAAGACAGTCAGGACGGGAAATGCACGGGATACATTACAAAATAAAACGGCAAACGTACTTATGAAAAACGGCAAACGCACTTACGCTTGTAATTGATAGGTTTCAATATAAAATATTACGTAAAATCTATCAAGTATTTCTCTATAGTTCATTGGTAGTTGACATTTAACATACTTACGGTTGTAATTTTTCTAATCGAATTAATGAATTTTCCGGGTAGGTTTCAACATAAAACGCTAACATACTTCCAGTCGTCATATTTCTAAATAAAATCCCAAATGCTGCTTCGGTTGAATCGCTCTCCTCAGAAACATTTATTTTTTTATTATTACATCTTAGATTATGACATAATATATCATAATGACCACGTTGTGCAACAGTAAAGGAAAACACATAAAAAAATGACAAACACAACTTAGGTTTACTAAATAAATGACAACTATATATGAACTATAGAGAAATAATTGATAGATTTTACGTAATATTAAAAAATAAATGTGTTTCTGAGGAGAGCGCTTCAACCGAAACAGCATTCGGGATTTTATTTAGAAATATGTCGATGTTAGCGTATGTTAGCGTTTTATGTTGAAACCTATCCCGGCCATTCGTTAATTCATTTTGAATAATTACAACCGTAAGTATGTTAAATGACAACTATATATGCACTATAAAGAAATAATTCATAGATTTTATGTAACATTTTATATTGAAACCTATCAATTACAAGCGTAAGTATGTTTGCCGTTTTATTTTGTTATGTATCCCGAGCATTTCCCATCCTGACCATCCTGACAGTGGAGCCTCCACCGGAAGCAGCCTGACAGTGGAGGTCTGCAGCCAGGTGCTCTTGCTTTAATTTACCCTACAATTTATTTGGTGTTCCACTAACAGATAGATATCACACAAACACATTAAAGCAAAATCAATATCACCCTCCATTCTTTTTATTTGTTCTTTTCTTCGGCTAAAGGATCTAAGGAGTAAATATAAAACTTACTGCTATTCTTGCAAGTGCTGTTTTGATGGAGGCCCATGTATCCAGCCTGCGGTCTAAAATGATGATAAACTTCACTCCAGGTTGCCTCGTTCTGCGAACAAAAAATGCATTTTTTATTTGCTTCAAGCACTAACACATAAATCAATTACATGTGTCTGTGCTGTTCATAAGAGTTTAAGATCTTTATGAATCTAATTATTTTCAAGATAGGCTTTTTAAACAGCTTCCTTATGAATTTCTATATTTGGGCTGAAAGAAGGTTTTGGCATCCAAGCAGAGAATCAGAGAAAATCACACCAGCTGGGCTCACATTACAAGATTTTGGTGCAGTGCAGAACAAGAGGCAGTCACACAGGAGGGCTAGCTAATGATGGAAGACACACCGAGGGATGAGCGTGAGGTACGTAAAGACTTTGACTAAAGCTTCCTCTGGAATATCACTGAACGCTGAGCATTCTGGAAGGGTGATGATGACACTCGAGTGTTCCCCACGTCCTCCTAGGAAATAAATATACAAAATGAATCTTTGTTCTTCAAAAGACTTAATAGAAATTTGATACGGAAAGGAAGAGCTTACCTGACAGGTATGCCACCTGCTTCTCTATGTAACCTCCCACCTCCTTCAAGCTCACAGGGACAGTCACCTCTGAGAAACAACACAACTCTTTTAAAAAAAGATAAAAACAAGCACACATATACATATCTATCAACATGAGCTGTGAAATTAAACAATTTCCCTCTGGGATTAATAAAGTATATTTGAATTTAATTTAATTGAAGTAAAGCGCAATTTTTTGTGTGACATTTCATTTTTAAATGTTTTTCAAATATTCATGAAGAAATATATATATATATATATATATATATATATATATATATATATATTCTATAAAAGGCTTTTAGAATCTGAAGTCTATAAATTAACTGAGAGGCAGAATTAAATGTCATGAAATATAAATTATTGTCAATACATGAAAGCATCGCAAAATGGCCGCAAAACATACAATGCAATTAGCCGCCACTCCTTTCCACTGGCAGCAAAGTGTAACATTTACGTCGTTCCCCAGAAGCGAGGGCACGCTATCATAATGTTTCGAGTCTATTATTTAGGTGCTATGCTTCCAAAACATGTCAAACTCTGCAGTTTAGTTTGCCCCTGACAGGAAGTCAAACACAAAACCAGTGTAAAACATCCAGAAGCTTTCAAAATAAAAGTCACATGAAGGTAAACATACGTAATTTTCTGTTAGAACCCTATAGCCGATGAAAACAGAACAGAAAAGATGTTACCCAACCGCTTTCACAGCCGGTGGAAGGAAGCGTTAACAGGTGTCTGCAGCAAGTTCATCATTACATTAAAGGTGCATGAAGTAAGAACGGCCTCCTGTGGTCAAATTTGGTTACTACGGTCCATGTTTCAAAGCAGACAAGTGGCTCTCCCCATGGCATCCGTGAGTTTCATGGCTGTGGCCAGTTACGGATCAGCACCAGAAGAGTTTAGATGACGAAAGACGAGTCATGCACAGTAAGCTTATGTGTAGATGAATACATTTCACTCTAATATTTAGTTGTTGGTAATCAAAAATGTAGCTTGAGATATTTTTAGAGCCCACTTTTTGCTTCTAATTAATTAATAGCATTGTTAGCTCATCATTAGCCTCAAACCTTCTTTACCCGATATTAGAGTAAAACAAAAAAAATACAGTAGCTTCTTAGGGTTACAAGAAATATCTTCTTGGCTGCTCCATTTACTCGTGAACATTCTGTCCAAAATGCTGCTGCATTTTGCCGGCCAGTGTCCAAAAACAAATGCCAATGCAGCTGTGCTTAGTGGCGCAGACTGGGCAACCCTGAAGACCCCCATCCAACTGAGAAGGAAATCTGTTTCAACGTAACCTTCTTCCAAACATGACTGAAACAATAGATTGTTTTGTGATTATTTCACTGTAAAATTTTTGTTGTACTTAATGAATCGTCTCAGTTTAATACCACATCAATGGCAGCAGTAGATCAAATGCTAGTTTTGTTTTGTTCTGTTTTCTGCAATCGGGACTGAGAGACTTGGCAGAATGGAAGAAAAGTTCAATACAATTTTGAGTAATTATAGATGGAAAAGGGGGGACGGGAAATCAATCTGCACCCTAAAAAACATGATTTGAATGGTAAATGGCATGTATTTAATATAGCGCCTTCTAGAGTCCTGGAACTCCCCAAGGTGCTTTACAACACAATCAGTCATTCACCCATTCACATGTTAAATAATCATGAGTCTGAAACTTCACTAAACAGGTCTTTGAAGTGCGTTTATGCTATCATGTGGTGTGATAAGTTGAAGACGAAGACCCTGTACACAATGTTTTCTAAGAAAAATGACAAAGTATCTGAAATATCTATCTGACAATTAAAGTTTATGTAGGAGCTTTTCTTGGTGTGAAGATCTGTTTGTTCAGGTAAATGTGTTCCTATTTTCCTGTTTTAGCTCACCATTTATTCTATTATTTGTAGGTGTTTTTTATTCAAATTTAAGTAAAAATTGTTCCAAAGTAAAATGGAAAGATTTATACTTTTCTAATTATTTAAGGCTTGTTTTGCTAATACATTGGTGTTAAACTAATCTGTGTTCAAGAGTCAAATGAACAACATAAAGTTTGGTTGAATTACCATTTGTTTTTCGAGCAGATAATCACATACAGTTGTTAGTATTGTTGTGTGTATTTTGAAGCAACTGTTTTTCCTGCATCCTCTGCATGTAACCCCTCTGACTAGGGTTACTGGAGTAGTAGGATTCCAACAGAGCCAGGTTCTCGCATTTCACTCATTCTGTCTTGTTCTAGTAGCCACGCTGGATGTTTTGGTTTTTTTCTGCTCCAACCCAGTTTTGATCCCGGGTCCCCCTGCTTATAAGTCTGGTGCTTATATAGTTGAGCTATCCAGCTGTTACGTGTGTGTGTGTGTGTGTGTGTGTGTGTGTGTGTGTGTGTGTGTGTGTGTGTGTGTGTGTGTGTGTGTACACACAAATATGTGTGGTTATGTTATCATAGCTACAGTATGTTATGTTATTATGTTTGAAGATTGAACATTATTATTGGTCAGTACATGGGTTCCAGGCAAATGAAAAGAGAGCTGCATCCAACATAAAAAATGAACGATGCTATCCTCTAAAAAGTAGCTGATTCACTGGGATGCGTCTTAATCGATCCTGGAGCAGCATTAGGACGTCTGCAGGGCTTCATTTAGTTAATGTTCCAGTTTGAATAGAGAAATTCCGCTTCTGAGAGCAGAAAGAACAGTTGAGCTTCCACGTGAAAACTGTCACAGCACACATCATTCAATCAGATGTGCAGAGGTCAGACACACATCATGTTGTATCATGTTGTCCCTGTTAACAGACACTCAACTTGAATTACTTTTAAACCCTATGAAGGAAAGCTTTTCACTTGTTCATAAATAACACACATTATCCTTTATGTGAATCATATCAAATATCTTCCTTTCAGCTTGTTATGCCGCAGATTGGAGGGTAGCGATTTTCTCGAACTGCATCACTTCCTCATACAGAATGAATCAGAGCAAAGATTAAAAAAAAATTACAGAAAAAAGGGCAAAGGAAAGAGAAGAAGAGCAAACAAGGTGTTATATTCCATGAGCTTGACTGCATTAACGCTGCGTATCAGGGAGGGAGCAATAAGCTCCACTGATACCTGCTAAATATTTGATGTGTAACAGAGAGGAGCTGAACTAAGCCGGGCCACGAGAGCAGCAGCAGTAACGCAACTGTGCATGCACAGGTCCAGGATACAGTTACTGTCAATCAGAATGACTTTTCAACCCGTCTGCAGACGACGTTCAGGGGGAGAGGTTAGTCTCGACATAACAGATGGAAAATGATGTTGAAGCACATCGCTTTAACTGAAATGGCTGATTTTGTGTATCAGAAGAATGTAAAACATGGCAGGGTTAGTGACGAAAGTGCAAAATGTTTAATGAAAGCAGAGTCAGACTAATGAGCTTTGCAGACAGTTTTCCCTGCACTGCAGCCTACTCTACACTTTAAATCAAAGTGTAGATCTCTGTGGTATTTGATCAAAAGAACGCTCCCCTGTGGCGTGATCTGCATTGGATTTAATAAACTCACAAGCCTGTAGAAACCCTCGCTGACCCTGACAATCAGTCATGCTTGGTGAATCACATTACATATGATCTAAAACAGAATTTAACATCATTCATCTACATTCAAAACACATATTTGTGCTGTGACCTTCTGCAGGTGACGTGCAGGACAGTGTGCACAGATGAAAGACAAATAACCTCTGTTTGCTCTTTTGCTCTTGTGCACATGCACACACACACACACACACACAGTCAGGGAGAAAGGAGACATGTTTGTGGATGGAAACTGTGACTTGGGTCTGACCAATCCCTTCAGCCTGCTTACAAAGCTGAGGGCAGGGAGCTTAGCTGTGTTGTCCAAACACCGATTTCATCACATGGAGCATCTTTAACTAGCTTCTCCTTACCATGTGCATTTTCATATCTATTAACATCATTTGAAACTGAATTAAACAATAACCTTTTCATGAGCATGATTTAAAAAGGCCCTAAATAGTAAAGATAGACAGATATATTGGGTCAATGTTTACGGTTTTATTATACATTGGCATTGGCTGACATTTGTCCTTAGTAAAGCAGATTTAAAGTCAGGCACATCCTTGGGCAGCCCAGTGAATGTATTTTTACCTTCAGTAATAACATTTGCATAATACTCTAAATTAACTTTATTTAGGTGTCAGGCTTTAACACTGCACAAAGTCAAGATATAACAGTTAGTTGAATTCAGAGTTCAGAAATTAAATCAGCTTCAGAAATTTTGTGCATCAACTGATGTTATTAGTGACATTTTGGCTGAAAATAAGGTGAGAAATGTCTGGATACTGACCGTGGAATTCGGCCCATTAACTCATTCACTACCAGCCGTTTCCTGACTGCCAGCATTTTGACTGTTTTTTGATGAGCCACAGAACATTGTGCTCCACGATGCTGTAAACGCCAAAACTACAAAAACAAAGAGAAGACTCACTTCTTACGTTGGGAAGAATCAGCGTGTGTCTAGCGTTATACATTCTTTCATAATCTGTTGTCCAATTGTGAGCCTCACTTTTTTCACAGCAGTGTCCCAAAACGATCTCCTAATTCATACATTTTCTGCTTCCTGACACGTGATGTGTGACGTACGCGGATGAAGACCAGCTTTAGAAATGTGGTGTTAATTCTCTTGGTGCGGGGGATCATTCCCACGCCCGCCCCGTCAAAAAATGCAATTGACGACTTTAGTCATCAATGGCAGCAAATGAGTTAAAATCAGCAGTACACATCGGCCATTGGCTGAACATGTCCTACACATCAGCGTTGGTATGGGCAACAGAAACACCAATATCGGTCGACCTCTACTGCACACGGTAGCTTTAATGCCAAAGTTTTAAACTAAAGTAATTTCATGCTGGAAATGATTGATTCATAGCCATTTGGACATGTCTCAGAAATAACTTCATGCCTGATTTGTCAGTACTCTAGTATGCACTGTGAGTGGCTCTCAGTTACTACCACGTGCAGTTTCAGTTTAATATTTGTAAAAGTGAAAGAGTTCTAGTCATTCTTGTGTGGGATAAGGTCGCTGAGCTCTGTCAGGAGGTGGGCTGACTTCAAAAGTTAATCAGTTGTAGAAGTGTAATGATTACGGTCTCTGAGATTCATATCAGTAGTTCATGAGAAATGTTGCTAAAGAATAAATGAAAGCATGTGAAAGTTTCATCAGTAGCACTTCACAACCAAAACTGAGGCTTTATTAGACTTACCCTGATTTTCAATTCAAAGAACAAATGCTGTAAGTAATCAGACAGTGAGTCATTTGGTGTCAACAGTAATGATAGAGCAAGATGCAATGTTCATGATAAAAGTAAATCATATAAATTGGTAGGAAAGTGATTTAAAGAGAAACCAACAATTCCAATGATTTTATAGGGACTGATGTAGATAAATCTCTTCTTACAAACTGATGAAACACCAGGGCATCATGCTGCTTTTGGGTCATGGGGCTTCATTTTTTGTTGCTAAATGAAGCTTTAAATGCTGAGCGGATTAGAGTGGTGGGTGGCAGAGGTCTGGTAGAAAAGGGTGGAAGAAAAATGGCTTTTCTACCCACTGGGATGCGTGGGAGCTCGCTAGATCAAAGAGCTCTTACTGGTGATGCAGGAGAGGAAGCCTTAGATTTACCTTCCAACAAAGATCTGGGTTTGAATTCTAGTATAGCTCAGGTAGTTCTGGAAGAATTCTTAAGAAATTGTTGCATTATAATGTTTTGTCATTTGCATCAACTGTATGCGCAGATATCTTCCTTTTGGTTCATTTCACCTCATCTAAGTGACTTGTGAATTTACACACGTAACTGTATGGGCAAAGTTTTAGTAAATGTTTAAGTAATTCAGGTACTTTTTCTGTAGCAGCCTGAGCTCCAAACAACCTTGGTTTCATTTTTACTTGTGCATTGGAAGCATATGGAATATCAGTTAAAACATGTGAAGCTTGTTATAGAGAACAATCAAAGGAGACCTCCTAAATGTTCTCCTACAACCGTGATAGGAGTAAAATCAATGGGTGTTAACCAGTTCTAAGAGTTTATGGCATTGTGTCATGGTTCAACACAGGAGAGGCATTTTCTTAAGCGTGTTAAAAGAATATGACAACATTTAGGTTGTCAAAGTGAATAAGTGCTTTTATGACAAATCAAACAAGATTATTCTTCTCCATCGTGCCCATTACCTTGAGCTCTTTTTACATCCCAAATACAGTTGCATTGAGTTGCTATGCGTGTTATTTATGCAACCTCCTTTTTAGATTTTATTAGAATTACTTGTTTTCTTTTAATTCATGCATGTCCCATTTGCTATCCACAGATCTGATATTAGAGCAGAAAATCAAACCAATGGATCAAAATGTTTCCATCTGTGATGCTTAAAATAGCTGACATAATCCCTGCAGTAGCTCACTGCTGTAGCAAAGCTGCAGGAACTGGTGCATCAGTAAAACTGGCTCACCCAAGGTGCAGTTCCTCCTCCTGCAACAGCTCTCACAAATGTCAGACTAAAAGGAACTCTCACAGTAGGCTGCACCGTGTTAGATAATGAGGGATGATTCGAGATCAGGTACACAGTAGTGATGAAAAAGCCTGAGGTGTGACGGCATTGTGTTACTTACGCTGCAGAGTGCTCTCTAGCTGGGAGCCAGCCTGCAGAAGGCAGCGGTAGCTCTCCATCTCCTCCTTGGATTGTTTGGCAAGCTCCCTCTCCTCCTGCAGTGAGGCCGGGCCCATTTCCTCCGATTCGGACTCAGATCTGGCCAGGACAACTGACTCTTGTAGGAGGTGATGACAGAAGTCCAGGCCTTACATCTTCCTGAGGCTCACACAGCCCCACATGGTGTAAGTTTACACAGGCCTAGAGGCGTTATGACAGGAAACCGTCTGTCCATATGCTTCCAGGATCCAGATGAGACGTTTCCCTGAGCTTACGGCTTCTCCTCCTGACCTTCGGCTGCATACGGAGTACCTCCACACTGAGCTGGGCAGCAACACTGCAGCAGAAGGCCTCCTCATTGGCAGAGAGCTACAGTTCGTTGACCCATTGCTGCTCCAACTGGGTGTGATGTCTTTTTTGTCCCCTCCCGGTTAATACACTCCAGTGCAGACTGTGTGTACTGCTCTGAGCAGCACTTCAAAACAAACACAGCTCCATCTGGCCACGGCTGTCCATCTCCCTCCCCTCTCTGAGAATTAGTGCGTCAGCTCTGCACCGAGAAAAGCTCAAGAGTCCTGCTCCTGGCATGCTGCCAGCTCCCTCCCCACTTTTCCTCACTTCTTTTCTAGGCTGACTGTATGTAGGCTGGACCATTGAGCCGTCTGGCTACCATGGTAGCCTCTTTCTCCAGTTTCACTAGAACAGATGCACCGCAGGGAGAAAAGACCTATTGTTAAGACCAAAAGGAATCTACCTCTCTTTCTGCCAAACAAGTGTGGCCGATGTGAAACAGCATTTAATGTTTAAAAATCACATTCAATCCTCAGAACAAACATGAAAGGGTGTCATTGTGTGAAGACTTGTTACAGAGAGCCTTTCTCAGCTCAACTCCTACAGTTCAGCCTACATCTCAGATTGGATCAGTGCTCAGTAACTCTATACAGACTAGGGACTAACGTGTGTGTGTGTGTGTGTGTGTGTGCGCGCACATGATGTATGCGCATGCAAAAGCACCTATGCAGCAACTCAGTTTGAGGTTTTCTTGCTATGAGGCCACACACAGAGCAGAGTTAGAGCAGCAGCACGCCATCCTGATACGCAGCCACTCAGCTGATCCAGCTTAGCCTCTCAGCCATCTCATTACTGCACAGCATCTGCTTAGAGTGGCTGAGCGAGCGCACACACACACACACACACACACACACACACACACACACACACACACACACACACACACACACACACACACACACACACACACACACACACACACACACACACACACACACACACACACACACACACACACACACACACACACACACACACACACACACACACACACACACACACACACCTTTACATTAGATAGAATCTGCTGCAACAGTATAGCTTTTGTGACAAATCACAAAGTAAATTCTCTTTAAAACATTCATTTCAGGAAATCTTCAGGCTTTTTTAATATACTTGTTTCATTTTAAAGAGGTACATTCAGCTCAGAGGTTTGGAGTGATGAAGCTGGACGCTCTGAAGGCTGGAGGTGGCGGGGGGGGGGGGGGGGGGGGGGACCCTGCCTGAGGTGCCTGAAAGCATCCAGCTCCACCCTTCACAGACAACCACACAGCTTCTCAGAGGTTTTTTTTCTTTCAGTTTGTTTTTTATAATTTATTTTTTAATAGAAAAGTGTCTGGAAAAAGTTGCATTAAAAATACAATCCATTCAATTAAACATTTCATTTAAACAGGCAAAATATTAGATTTTGACATACTTTAAGCTCTGAAAATAGCATTTCTGACTTAAAGGTTTTGATTTTTATTCGTTAACAAAGCAGGCAGCCCCGTCCTGTTTGACCCTTCACACCCAGAATCGCCAACACATCTGGAGGGGACACAGCATCAGCTTTTCACAACATTTATAAAGTGAAATCAGCTCAGCACAAAAAAAGTCTGTATAACTTTAATTTGGCCTTATTTTTAGATTTGATTTGCCAGATGGCACAATTTTAGTCTGACTTTAGTCAGCAAAAATAGTTTCTATAATAATCGGTGAAAGAAAAACATTTAAGATGAACATTTAATGGTTTTCCATTTTAATCTGAGACCTAGGTCACCTGACAAATGTGACTCTGAGGTTGATACGTACGCTGGAAGGGGCTGCCCGTCACACAACGAGAACCACACACACCAAGGGAACTGGCACAAAGCTGAACAATCTTCAGAATTAAAATAAAATAATGAATCATGTCATTAAAAAAAATACAATTTGCGAGTAAACACACACTTAATATGTGAATGTTTGTGGAAGATAAACAAGAAGTAAAAATGTAGAACAAGAGTTCAAAAGTGCCAAAAATCTCATTTAGATGGAATGCATAAAGAACTGTGTAAAAAAGTTAAAGAGGGACCAAAAAGGTGGCAAATCCAGGAGATCCAAGCAGAAAGGGTAAAGCCCATGTGGCTTTCACACTTCTGATTCTGCTAATGTTGTTATTTTATACTCCAACTTCACCTGTAGCAGCAACTAAATCATGACAATGAAAAACTTTTAGGCTCTAGTACACCTGTGTGTGGGTTATTGGTTGTGTAATCTCTTCTAATCTAACTAGTAAGTGCGTGTGTGTTCAGGCATAGATAATGTGCCTCAATCATCAGAATTACAGCAAACACACCAGTTTCTTTAGTAGTGCAGAAAAAATGTCTAACCGACCAGACCAGACACCTTAATCTATTTAACACGCCTCTGTCACTTTACGGTCACACTTGTGAGGACCAATCTGATCGCACAGCGTTCATCATCTTCTGTATTTGGCTTTGAGCAGACGCTAATACACTTATCGAAGCTACCAAGCACACAGAACATATATTATTTTTTTTCTCTTAAATAACTTGAGGTTAGAATATTTAGGTGACAATCCTAACATCTTATTAGATGTATTGCATAAAAAACAGGACTTTTTGGATTCAGTGATAGTATGGCCTCTAGTAACCCCTCTTACATCCAATATCAGATGTAACAGCACGAAATAATCACTTTGATGTCTACAAACCACGTCTGTGAGCAGATTTTAGTTAAATTAAAACTGCATTCAGTAACTTATTTGTTATTCATCTGGAATGGTTCAGATTTGTAGATTTTTTTTCAGAAATATAAGAAAAACTATTAAAAGAAAGGTGAACAATCCTTTAAAGTAGAATAACCTTGTTGTTAAAATACAGTAAAATGCAGGAAACCGTGTCTGAACACAGGTGTTCTTCTGGAGTCATGCAGATGTGCCATTCTTGGAGTGGATACACAACTACTCGATGAAACAATGTTTCATAGAGAGCTACTGGCAAGGCAGCTGCGTGTGCGTCGTTTTAAGCAAATAGTTAAAAAAGAAAAGTAAAAGAAGAACTTGTGTTCATTGTCCAGGGTAGTAATAATAATTAAAATAAAACTGGCCACTGCCCTGCAGACATGCGTTGGGCAGTAAAAAAAAAAAAAAACCTCAAACTGACATAGCTCCAGATCTTCTCCCTCCTTTAGAAAGCAGATGAAGCGGCAAGTCCTGGCTGCCTTTCACTTCTGCTCATTCAGGTGCTTGTAGGATAGAGGTGTGACGGCTGCAATCTGGAAGCAAGACAAGTGGACAGACTTCAGTTTGTGTTTGTCATCAAGAGCTGGAAAAGACCCAGAAAGGAAAGATGGTATGAAATCATCCTGAAGCATCAGAGAAAAGAGTGATTGGAAACACAACACCAACCTAAAGCCAGAGCAATCACAGCTCCCCCTCCACCATTAATTATCAATTATCCTGTTTTTATGCAGGCCAACTGATCTGTTGAAGCTCAGCAGACACTCAGTCTGTGAGGTTTACCTGGATGTTTGTAGAAGGGCACTCTTTGACAGCTACAGGAAGAATAGAAATGCAGGTTAAAAGTGTAAACTCTTGCAGAAAGCTTTGTGATTCAGTTAGGCAGCCAGTGACACGTGTGAATACTGGTGGTAGGGTGAGACCAGGCTCCATAGCTTACTCACTTTTAATCCAGGGGAACAAACAAAAAGTCAGACACAAGCTAATTTAACTGTTTAACTGAAGAACAGGGTGCAGAAGCACGGTTTATATCAACACTCGGCTTTTTAATTACAAAGATCAAAACAGTCACCACCTGTTGTGTTTTCTCTGACGTTTTCTTGTCTGCCCCCTGTAATAAAGCAGCATTTGGAGCTGGAGTTACATCAATAGCATATCATGCAACAAGCTCAAGCACAGCACCCATACAAGATGTCCATTACTGATACCGATGACCAAACCACATCACAAACCTCCGGTGTTGGAGAAGTAGTATAATCCCAGACCAGCTCTGACACGGACACAGAAAGACAAAAACTGACACATTCAACCCTATTTAGCAACCAAAATAAAAAATGGTAGGTGACAGAAGCTCATGCAGAAAAATTAGCTGGGCATCCACAGGAAGGCTGAAAGGAGCATGTTTCTGAACAAAACCCTTAATAGAGATGCTGCCATGTGTTACATAAATGCACCAGTTTACAAAAGCAGGACAAAAATGGGGAGATGTAGAATAAGTGCATCTCTTCAGCCAGCCCATATCAGCTCACACAACATACAGGTCCTTCTCACAAAATTAGCATATTGTGATGAAGTTCATTATTTTCTGTAATGTACTGATAAACATTAGACTTTCATATATATTAGATTCATTACACACATCTGAAGTAGTTCAAGCCTTTTATTGTTTCTAATATTGATGGTTTTGGCGTACAGTTCATGAAAACCCAAAATTCCTATCTCAAAAAATTAGCATATTTCATCCGACCAATAAAAGAAAAGTGTTTTAATACAAAAAAAGTCAACCTTCAAATAATTATGTTCAGTTATGCACTCAATACTTGGTCGGGAATCCTTTTGCAGAATTGACTGCTTCAATGCGGCGTGGCATGGAGGCAATCAGCGTGTGGCACTGCTGAGGTGTTGTGGAGGCCCAGGATGCTTCGATAGCGGCCTTAAGCTCATCCAGAGTGTTGGGTCTTGCGTCTCTGAACTTTCTCCACAATATTCCACAGATTCATTCTCTATGGGGTTCAGGTCAGGAGAGTTGGCAGGCCAGTTGAGCACAGTAATCCCATGGTCAGTAAACCACCATTTACCCGTGGTTTTGGCACTGTGAGCAGGTGCCAGGTCGTGCTGAAAAATGAAATCTTCATCTCCATAAAGCTTTTCAGCAGATGGCACCCCAGACCATCACTGACTCTGGGTACTTGACACTGGACTTCAGGCATTTTGGCATTTCCCTCTGCCCAGTCTTCCTCCAGACTCTGGCACCTTGATTTCCGAATGACATGCAAAATTATCTTTCATCTGAAAAAAGTACTTTGGACAACTGAGCAACAGTCCAGTGCTGCTTCTCTGTAGCCCAGGTCAGGCGCTTCTGCTGCTGTTTCAGGTTAAAAAAGTGGCTTGACCTGGGGAATGCGGCACCTGTAGCCCATTTCCTGCACACGCCTGTACACGGTGGCTCTGGATGTTTCTACTCCAGACTCAGTCCACTGCTTCCGCAGGTCCCCCAAGGTCTGGAATCGGTCCTTCTCCACAATCTTCCTCAGGGTCCGGTCACCTCTTCTCGTTGTGCAGCGTTTTCTGCAGCACGTTTTTATTCCCACAGACTTCCCACTGAGGTGCCTTGATACAGCACTCTGGGAACAGCCTATTTGTTCAGAAATTTATTTCTGTGTCTTACCCTCTTGCTTGAGGGTGTCAATGATGGCCTTCTGGACAGCAGTCAGGTCGGCAGTCTTACCCATGATTGCGGTTTTGAGTAATGAACCAGGCTGGAAGTTTTTAAAAGCCTCAGGAATCTTTTGCAGGTGTTTAGAGTTAATTAGTTGATTCAGATGATTAGGATAATAGCTCGTTTAGAGAACCTTTTCATGATATGCTAATTTTGAGATAGGAATTTTGGGTTTTCATAAGCTGTATGCCAAAATCATCAATATTAGAAACAATAAAAGGCTTGAACTACTTCAGTTGTGTGTAATGAATCTAATATATATGAAAGTCTAATGTTTATCTGTACATTACAGAAAATAATCAACTTTATCACAATATGCAAATTTTTTGAGAAGGAACTGTATAAAACGCGATCTGGCCTCTGAAACATCACACACACTTTTGCGGCTTTCATCAGAGCTAGAAACAAAAGGTGCTACAGCGGGGTTTCCCTGGAGGAAGCGAGTCATCGATTGGCTTGAACAGCCTGAAGGTGAGCTAGTACCTGTTTAAATGACCGTACGGGACTCTTCTGAAAAGGTTCTCATAAGCAGCGGCCTGACTGGAGACTGGGGAACCTGGAGGCCCCCTGCACTCGACTGAACCCGCTTCTTCTAAAAGGGGTGAGGCAAAAGACACCGTTGACTTCACTACACTGAGAAAAAGAGCACACTTCTTCTCCATACGGTGCTCGCTGTTGCACACAGACATGTACACAAACACATAACAGTCACAAACGTTATAAGTGTGAATTATGAAACACGGAGACTTTCTAAAGACTTTCAGAGACAGGTTCAGAGTTTTGAACTGAACTGCTGAGGCATATCTGAAGTTTCAGACAAACAGAAACAAACAGTGGCCTGCAGAGACTGGGATCCAGGATGAGGTTGTGGACTTGAGCCTCATGCAGTTAGGTTTGGGTGCTCTGATGTGCTGCAGTCACCTGACCGGACATGCGGAGGCAGCAGGCATTGGAGCAGCAAAGGCAGCTGGGAGGAGACATGGACTAATACAACTGGGCAGACAAGGATGGAGCACAGACTGCATGATCTCAGCACAGACACCCTGTCTTACTCCACACTTCTGGGAAAACACCTTTACTCCCAATTTATTCATCTAAAACAAAGTATCCAGGTCAAAGTTAAAAAAAAAGCCTTCAGGTCCCGAGCGGACTTGATCTGTCCAAAGTGTGGGACTACAATTAGATCTATGAAACACCAGGACGAGGTAACTTATGGAGTAAGGACAGTGGGAGAGGAAGGACACAGTGAGTAAGAAAGCTTAGTCGACAGACAGAAAAAAGGAGACCTCAGTCACTCCATGAGAAGCTGTGAGTGCTAGCGGTCTGTGACAACATGAAGATAGTAGAGGTCCCCGAGGACGGAAGGCGATGCTTCATCTTTGAGGCCAGAGAGGAAGAGAGAGACAAATAAGAGGGTGAAGGAGATCAGAATAGGTCCAGGTGACACACAGGCAGCTAGAAAAATGAAACAGGGAAGATTGAAAATGGACAAAAACAAGATTTTAAAGCTGTTTTTGTTTAATAATTAGAGGGCACACGTACTACGAAGCATTTATCAACATAAACATAACAAATTATGTGTAAGAAAGACTTTTTAAAAGCGGGGTTAGGGCATGTAAATAAAACGTTAAAAAACTTTAGCAAAAGAGGTAGAGCCCAACAAAATCTATTACAGTTTTGCCTAAATCGATCACTATCTTTTTTTTGTGCGCACGCTCCACCGCAGGAATTTTCTCTTCCTGTTTTGTTTTGTTTTTCAGGTTTGCTGTGTGTGCTTTATGTCTTAGACTTGCCCATCGTGCCTCTCGACTCCGCTATCTCGTTCTTTATTCATTCTAAGGTAGAAGGACCCACTCCAAAACGAGATGGCTGAAGTGGTTTTACCCTCCTAAAACATACGTCAATAAATACATTTTTTTGCATTTAAATTTTCTGAATTCTGTAATTTTTTATATTGACATTTTTACCTAGCTTTTAACTAGGTCAGCAAAAAAAATATAAATGTACTCAGCCATATTATCTTGTATTCTAGTCAATTACATGTTAACATGACTTCGTTTACAAGTTTTTTCCTTTGAGTTATATTGTGCTCTAAACTTTGACTTTCATGGTAAATGTATTATTTATCTGCAAGGCACTTCTTCACCTCAGCTCACCATAATGCTGTCCCACTCAAATTCTGGTAAAATATTGTGGAAATGATTGGACCTGAAAGTTGTAAATACCCAAGGACCTGAGACTTTCCACAACAAATAGACTCACCTGTTGGCTATACACATAAGTCAAATAGGTACATAAAAAACTATTAAAACAAATTTCTTTAAATTAACTTGTCTAATCAGGAAAACTACCTGAAAAGCAACAAAAACAATTAATATAATCAAGACCCCCCCCCCCCCCCCCCCCCAAAGCAGATTCATTATTATTACATGAATACAATTCTAAGAATGATTTCCTAACTTTTCGTTAATCCTCGTCTTTTAAAACGTTAGAATATATTTGGTGATTCATTCTAAAGTAACAAAAGTAAGTCTAATACAGTTTGGGCCTCCCCCACACTTCCATCACTAAAACATGTCAGACTACAATCAATCAAAGTCCACAGGGATCAATTAACATTAATTTATTAATCGTGTTTATCAGGAACTAATAATGGAACAATATGTGGATCTCAGCTACCACAAACATTTGGTTCCATTTACCTTGACAAGTGAGAGAGTCAAACGATTTTCTGAAACTCAGAATCTCTTAATTATTTCATGAGCAGCTTTACAGTAGTCTAAGGACTACACAAGCTGGAAATGGGGGACATAAATATGTCCTATAAACCTCTTTGAATTCATTTCAAGCCACTCAAAGTATCAACAAGCAAAAACTAAGTCCCTAGAGAAGCAAACACTGACATCGTTGAAACAAATGCATAGTGTGTGTGTGGGTGTGCGTGCGTGTGTGGTAACATGAGAAGTGTAAACGTGTGTGTATCTCTGTTGTACCTTTCGAGTGTAAGGGCCCCGGGGGTTACGGAGTACCACAAGCAGGATCTCTGGCAGTAGGCTGAGCAGGATGAGCAAGATGATGACCAGCCATGCCGACACAGAGCTCAACATGTTGGCAAACACAAAGTACAGACGCTGCTGCTTCATGAAAGGCCTGAAGGAGAGGAAACACTTAGAACATTTCTGCAAAAGAAACTAAGAAGAGGATGACTGGGGTGGTTTCTTACCAAATTATTCCTCCCCAGAAGAAGCTGAAAAACACGTAGAAGGCCAAAGAACCCCAGATTACAAAGTGGTTGATCCATGTCCAATGTCGTGTGTCCAGAGCCAGCTGCAAAAGGAGAAGAAAATTCCTTCAAAGATCAAGTAAAACCACCTCAAAGGTTTAACAAATGTCTCTTTAAGATATCTCCTCTCATATTTGCTGATAAGAAAATATCTAAGAGGTGTTAGCTTACCTTTAATGTAACAGTAAAGACGAGCACAGTAAACACAATCGTTCCATATGACCAGTTACCAAAAACCTGGAGACAAATATGGAAAAATAAGAGTCAGTGAATGAGAGAAGGCTAAACCTTTTAAATCTCACATCCGTTTACAAGGTGGCTGAAATCTAACCTGTCCATTGTCCTGCAGGGCTGGATTACTGAACAGGAATCGAACACCAAAGAAGAAGACTAAACCGTGGAAAGCTCCAAGACCAGTCCAGTAGAGGAATAATCCCCACCGCAGCATGGCGTTCTTGGCATTCTCACTAGAAAAATAACAAAAGGAATCATGGATTTTTGAAGGCAAATATTTTTTTGTTGATTGTAGTTAGGAAACGTACATTTTAGGTTATTAAAGTACAAGTCACCGCCAAATCAACCTTTTTTGCCAATAAACTACAGGAGTACCTGATTGAGCTGTAGACATATGTCGTCATTATTTTAGCATTGTAGTTTGTCTCATTTAAAATATAAATACTAAGCCAAAAACCGATATTGCACTCTCTTCAGAACAAAATCTAAACTCCTTTTTAATCAACCATGGCTATTGGCTAAAACGATAAACTGTGGCCCTGGTGCACTTCAACAGGTGTGCGATGCGATGCCTGTCCAAAACCCCAGTACAGTACAATAGGTCAGCTCGGTGCCCTAGTGGTACAAGTGTGACAGAGACAGATTGGGGTTCAATTCCCAGTTGGGTTACCAGACTCTAAAATGGGCAAGATAGCAAGATACACCGTTTTTCAGCCATATGTAACCTGGTAGAGCTGTATCATCACACTGTGTGTGTGTGTGTGTGTGTGTGTGTGTGTGTGTGTGTGTGTGTGTGTGTGTGTGTGTGTGTTAGGGCTGCAACAAACGATTATTTTGATAATCGATGAATCGGATGGGGTCTCCACACGATTAATCGATTAATCGGATTACATAGGGACATTTTTAAAAACTGCTAGGGAAACGTTATTTCTCTTCTTCCTTCACTTTATTAAACACAACGTTATTAGAAAACAGTTCAATAGCAGAAAAACAACATGCCTTCACTTAAATTGTCTTATAAGGTGTATAGACAGAGACCCTAAGCTACACCTATCTGTGACTTAAAATGCTTGGTCCAAGTTAAACAGCTTAAAGAGCAAGTCAACCCCTACCAGAGTCTAACTCCACTCCCACTTCATGTTTGAAAAATGCAACACATGCTGTTGCCTGGCAGACCGAGAGGGCGGAGCCGCTAACAAATACACACACACTCAGGCTCACGACAGCATTGTGACATCATAATGTACCAGTTTACATCATAGCATACTTCTTAGCCAATAGCAGTGGCAGATTTAAATTAAAATACAGTGCAGAGTTTTTACCTGACAACGGCACAACACTGCCAGTTTTAGGCAGAATATTTAAATTTTAACTAAGATGCACTGAAGTGCCAAATTATTGACGACGCGTGTCTGCAGCACGATTAGACACTCGTTTATTTAGTTTATCAGCAAAAAAAAAAGTTTATTTGGGGGTGACTTGCTCTTTAAGGGCAATTCTCATCTGTTTTGTTTGATCTCATCTGTAGACATTTATTATAATTGGGGATGTCAAACAACTAATTTTTAAATGTAATTAAACATATGGCTGTGAATTAATCAAAATTAATCACTATTTCCAAAAATGACTGAAAAAATACCAAATAAAACAAAAGTAAATGAATGCCATCCTCCTTGCGATGATGCCCTGGGCAACTGCCATAAAGTCACATAAAGAATTGCTGCTGATCATTCCAATGATCCCAAATAGACTCACATTAGGCCACATGAAAGCAACTGAACCCAAAAATATATTAACCAGTATATAACTGCACTCTCACACAACACGCCTGCAGCAACAGTTAGGACTCCTCCCTCCCTTTTAAAAACGTTTTCACTTCTGAGGACATTGTGGTTGTAAAACCACATGTTAGTAGTCTGGCCCCGGTGTGATCAACCAGTTTCTGCGGGAATGTGACGGCGGAACCGGTTCGCAGCAGCTTTTGGAAGAGTTGTGCAACACAACGAATCGATGACGCAATTCGTTGCCAACACTTTTAGCAATCAATTTTCATCGAATTTATCGATTCGTTGTTGCAGCCCTAGTGTGTGTGTGTGTGTGTGTGTGTGCGCAGCAACACAGGTGATTTCAGTTAAAAATTAGGCACTGCTCTACGGGGAAGGTACACATAGCTCTGCATCTATTGCGGCTGTGCTGAACTCGTTGCAGGTAAAGACTCACGCATGAACCTTGCTTTCTCTTAACTGCTTCCTCTTGTTAGTTTGTTTTAATGTATTTATTAACTTTTATTGGTCTATTGCGGCTGTGCTGAACTCTTTGCAGAACTCCTTGCAGGAGCTCACAGGTGTGCCATAAAAAGGGAGACCAGGACTCACTGATCAGAAGGACCAAACACATGTCCAGCACTGAGTCAGACGGCTGGAGGCACTGGGCTGATTGGGGGAAGCTCGAGTCATCGTCACTACCTGGCTTCATACATGTTGGTTTGGTTAAGACAATTCAACTTCCCCCTGGATTTTAACTGGTCTCCCTGCCCTGTGTCATAGGCACAACCTGCACAGACTGAGCTTTTATATGGGCTTTTAGCTTTTGCAATTATTTCTAATAAATTGTCTATTTTTGAAGTGATCTGATTTTGTACTACATTGTCCACATTAATACTGGTTGGTCAGATTCACTTCATGCAACATCTTGGGGGCTGATCTTCGGGTGTTACACATATATAACTGAGCATTCAGGAAAGTTTAAACTCAAATAAAAACCAATGAAACTAAATTTACCCTTTTAATTGTCCTATGAAGTGTAAATAAAAACATTCACCTGTAGAGGGCAGCGTCTTCTATGAGAAAAACATTCACCTGTAGAGGGCAGCGTCTTCTATGAGAAAAACATTCACCTGTAGAGGGCAGCGTCTTCTATGAGATCCTCAATGCTGATGCGCTGCTCCAAAAGGCTGTAGGCCAGGATAGGCATGGAGGTGAAGCAGATGTTGTACATCGTCAGATAGGCTGCATCATACAGGGGCTGGGATGGATGGACCAGGAGGAGGTAATGAGGAGGGATGGGGCAACCAGGGGTTAATTTTATGGAGAGGACTAAACTCATAGAACCATTTTAACACACTGTCATAGTTACTTTTACACATATCTATATGCTATACCTAAACACCTATAGGTGTGATTTTTAACATGTTGCACTAAAATGTGCAGAATTAGAGATGCAATGCTTTGTGCTCCATTTCATAACAGGCTGATGTAACACACACGTAACCAAGATTGCATCATATTCTAGTAGAATCTGATTGCTCTGTAATTTGTCAACAAAGCAGAAACAAGCCAGGGCTGGTAAGGGAGAGAGCTTGAAGGGAAGAGTGTGGTATTCAGGAGGATTAGGAGCTATGGATTTAGGAGCTCTACCTCCTTTAAATATTCAGACTGTTTCTGAACCTCTGTGTGAAATTGGGAATACTCACTTGCTGAGAATATCCACAGAAAAACTGGTATAAAAACTGCGGTAGGATGAAGCAAAGATTCTGTGGGCAATACAGAAAAACAAATTAATACAATCAGTATAAAATCTGAATAAATCTGTTATTTTGTATTCATTTATCAGCTGAACTTGATTAAAATCAAATTTGTGAAATTAACAAATTAATCTGAAATCAGATCAACTTTTTGTTGACAATCCAAAAACTTTCTCAATCCTAAGAAAAAATTATCCAAAGAAATAGTTTTCCTACCTTGTAAAAGAAATACTGCACCAGGTGTGCGATGCGATGATAATACAGATGGCCGTGAGCCAACAACAGTTTCTTGAGGTGTTTGAGTTTAGGGATAGCATAATCGCTGTTTCTCACCGCCTGCCGACCTTCCTTACCCTTGATGCCTGGAACACCAAGAACAAAAATTATGACGCGATACATTCGCCCCAAAAATGTACAATTACTTGTGGTTGGAGAAGCCCTTACCAATGCCAACATGAGCTTCCAAAATCATGCTGACATCATTAGCTCCATCTCCAATGGAAAGAGTGATGGGACTTCCTTTAGAGCTTTTCACCATTTTAACTATCTAAGGGGCAAACCAAGACACATGTAACCAGGTCAAGTGAGATCACTTAACAAAAACAAATGGTTCTGATCATTTCTTACCTGTGCCTTCTGTAATGGAGCCATGCGGCAGCAAAGAACAGCTGTACAGTTTTGACAAATCTGTAGGAACAGGTCCTTGTAACTCCTCATGTTGGATTCAGAGGATGAATTGAGCACCATAGATAAAGAAGCTCCATCAATGATAAAACCATAATCCTGGTTCGACGCAAAACAGACCCTAACACAGAGAGGAAGAAATAGGTTAGTGCTTTAAGTTTCAGCTTAGAGACGGACGGACGGACGGACAGACAGACAGACAGATCAATGTAATTATTTCAGCAGTACCAACCTGGTGCCACCTGCCTTTACCGGTGGAGCATCCTGAACAGCTCTCTTATGGTATTCACCCAAAAGTTCATGAAGTCGCTCCTCACGCTTCCTCTCTCCATCCTCTAAAGTACGCACAGTGAGCTCCAACAGTTCTGTTTTCCTCTGGAATAAACCACAGGCATAGCAGGTAGACTTGGCTGTCTCCATCTTGTCCCCCGTTAGGACCCAAACCTTCATCCCTGCTCTCTGCAAAGCTTCCATCGTCTCTGCTGCCTCCTCTTGAAGGCTTTGGAACAAGAAAGCATTAAGAATTAAAAATGATCAGACACAAAAACAGTCTCCTCATAACTCAATAAGCCTAAAGCACATATGTCAGACACAAGGCCCGCGGGCCAGATGCGGCCCACGGAGCATTTTTATGTGGCCCGCGAGATAAATATCAAAAATATATTAAAACTGGCCCGCTGGCCGATTTTACCGCAAAGACTTCGACTCCCATGATGCTTTGCGGCGCCAGCGCGGAGCAGACGCGCCCCCTCCTTTGTGTTTTTTCCAGCGTCTGCTGCCGGTGTCTGCAGCTCCGCTGTCTCGGACAAACTAAACACTCCTCTCACTCAGCACCGAGTTCACTCAGCTGTTTTCTGACGAAGCCCAGAAACGGAGATTCTAGCCGCTCAGTAATGTGTTCACGACTGAAAGAGAAAGTTTTCCAACTAACGTCCAGACAGAGCTGATATAACTCCAGCGAACAGCAACACGCTCAAACCAGCATGACTCTGGTTGCTGTCGTTGTTATTCGTCCCCGACACACAACAACGTGGTCAAGCTGCTCAGACATGTTCAGCAGCACAAACCTATGTGAGCACCTGTTGTCATCTAATGTTGTCATTATTATGATGAAGATGAACAAAACAACAGGAGTCTCCTCCTCAGCTCAGATCAACCCCATGATGCAGGTATCTGGCTGGAACAGGTGAGCATCACAGTAAACCAGTGGAGCAAACTGAGCTTTAAGTATTTTGGTTTTATGCTCTTTTTCTGCTTCAAAACATGAAAGTTAACAGGTGAGATGTTGCACTTTCATTTAAGATAAAATTATATTTTTATTTTGTTGTTGGCACGTGAGAAAATATTTAACCTACAGTAAACAGGAAGTGGAAAGGCTGCAGATAGATGAATAGAATAGAAAATCCCTTTATTGTTCCTCAGTGGGGAAAGCTAGACGTCACAGCAGCGATGACACGTATTACAGGAGAAAAAAAAATAAGAAAAATGAATAAACAAGAAAACATAAATCCTGAATAGATTTTAAAAATGCTGATTATACCACAAGTAATGAATACCACTGATGCCTTTTATTTAAAACTGACTTGCTCGTGTGTCATTTGGTTATTCCACATTCAGTGTTAATGCAGAAATAAGTTTGTTTCCTAATTTAAAGGTTCAAAATTGCATATATGTTGATAAAGAAAATGTGCAAATTTGCCGTCACTTTTTCAAAAATATTAAGTTTGGCCCACGACTCCATCCCAGATTTTCATTTTGGCCCCGTGTGAGTTTGACACCCCTGGCCTAAAGCATATTTATGCCCTAAAGGGAAAAAAAGACAATAACATGTGAATATTACCATCTCAGCAGGATTAACTAGTGCATCTATTCATGATTTCACATTGTGATACGTTTTAGCATCTTGATTTTGCATCTAGACCAATTTCCTGTAATTCATAAATCTGTCAGATGATGCAGAGCTTCATTAAAAAGCCTGAGAATGTTGCAGCTGTTGCTGCTCCCACAACATAACTTTATGGATCCAGTTTTGTTGCTGTTTTCAAAGTTTGTGACTGGGTAAAAGTGATGTGAGCAAAACATCTGTATACAAGTGTGAATCTGATTGAGCTATTGGTAAATTGTTTAATAAAAATAATTTCTAATGAGAAAAATATAATGCACATTCATTTTTCTTACTGTAATTGTTTATTTTTACTTCAATTGTCACTAAAATAAGCCATCAGGCTTCATAACCTCTAAATCTTAAAACTACACAGCATGATATAACCACAAGGTGGCAGCATGAGCTCACATAAACAAACAAGAGACGAAATGATTACCAAGTAAAATATAACAAAATAAAACTAAGTAAAAAATAAGTTTACAGTGAAAAATAGAACAATTCACTTCAAGAAACAACAGCAGTCTATTGTGGACCTATGAAAACCTCTGGTTTAATGATTTTAGTGTGTTTATTCATCACCCACCGATCTTCCACAGCAGTAGCTCCAATCAGACTCATTCCAGTCTCCACCTGGTTGTAAACAGCCAGAAGCTTCTCCTCTCTGTCCTGCAGAGCCAGTCTCGCTTCCCTCAGTCCTGCATCGGCCTGAGCGTACTCCTCTTCGCTGAGACGTTTGTAGGCCACACACAGCGTCCTGTAACCCTCCTGAACAGCAGCACAGAAACTGTTACTCCAGGTAAACATGAAATAATCCTCAGAAAGAACAAGCTAGTTGTTACCCACCGTTGCATTGCGTTCTACATGCAATCGTATCCGTTCCACCTCCTCTTGTCTGACTCGAGGGAAGATAGAAGAGTCTGCTCCCTTACAGAAAAGCAGCATTTCGCCTGGACACAAAATTTACAATTGTACAGAAAAACCAGATTTGTGAAATCAGCTAAGCAAACCTGGCACAGGGCTGGAGCTCACCTGATCCAGATCTGACTATCACGCTCATTCGCCTCCTCACAGGGTCAAAGTTCAGCACATGAAGTAGATCGTACCTTTGGGAGACATGAAATGGCTTCTTTTTTTTGAAGAGTGCAAATGTAATAAAATGATCCTAATGCTTTAATCATATTATTGACTTACATTTCTACATCCTTATTCCTGTTAAGAATTTTCATGGTTTTGCTTTCCAGGCCCAGAAACGTGAAGCCGTACCTGCAGACGGAGACAAAGATGCAATATTACAAACTCTAGTTATGATGGATGATAGGACCAAGAAAGTGTTTTCCAATACATGAATTTGTGACATTTCATTGTTGAACATTTAACTCATTCACTGCCATTGATGACTAAAGTCGTCATTTTAAATCCAACCGTTCACTGCCATTGACGACTAGAGTCGTCGTTTGCATAGTTTTACTATGTGGGCGTCGGAACAAGCCCCCACACCATGAGAACAAACATCCCAGCTCTAAAGCCGATCTTCATCCGTCACAGGTCATGTGATCAGGAAGCAGAAAATCTATGTGTTAGGAGATCGTTTTGGGCCGCTGCAGTAATAAAAGGTGAAGTGTGAACCGGAAAAGCTTCTGCCGATCACAATTCCACAACAAATTACGAAAGAACGGATAACGCTCAAAATGCGTAGATTCTTCCTGATGTAAGAGGTGAGTCTATGCTTTGTTTTGGTAGTGTTGCCGTTGACATCATCCTAGCGTGCAACGTTCTGTGACTCTTAAAAAAAACTGTAAAAACTCTGAAAAACGCTGGCAGCGAAGGGCTTTTCTGATCAGGAAACGGCTGACATTTAATGAGTTAATTGATTCCCCCCCCCTTCTTTTTTTTTACCTCATTGCACCCTTGACCAGTGCTATCTCATCAGGTGAGGAAGCTATAAAGCCTCTCTCCTTTTGTGGTGGCTGGAGCACATTTTCATCTATCCTTAAACCATCCACCTGATCTAGATTGTCCTCTCTTTGATCCTGCTCTGTAGACTCCTTCACCTGGACAGTGTGGCAGAGACAAAGCGCACGCAGAAACAGCTCCTCCTTCTCCTGATAAAAATACACAAATACGGGTTATCACATTAAAGAAGCCCAGAAAAAGCTGTACAACTGATGCGTTACTGACTTACAGACACATTTGCATAGTGAAATGTTGCTGGACCTTCTCCTTTATTTGAAAAAGACTGAGTGATAAAGTATTAAGAGGTGCTTATGACAATATAACAGCCGCTCCCCCCTTGTGTTAACTGCATATGTTTACATGTCAAGGACGCTGCACATGGGCACCTCAGAAGGGTCTCTCCGAGCAATGAGCTATGTAATGGCCATATGTTAATACTTGTGTGACTTCTTACAACAGATGGTGGGACAACACAACACCCACCCTGCCAGCTTTCTGCTGAAGTTTGTTCACGGGTCCATCTGTGACACAAAAGCCGTCCAACTCGGAGCTCGCACCCCGATGCTTGTACTGGAAACCATCGATGCAGCACTCAATGAACTCCATGTTGTTCTGAGTCAGGGTGCCGGTCTTGTCTGTGAAGACGTACTCCACCTGCAAGGAGTATTTTTAGGGCAAACTAAATTAAATAACACATAAAGGACTCATATAAAAAATTAGACTCCGGTGTAGCAGGTTCCAACAATAGCATTGGGTAATCACTTCCAGAGAAAATTACCTTGCATTTATCAGTTTAATAAGGCATTACGTTCTAGCAATCATCTGATAAACTGAGTGTGAGAGCTCTAAAGCAGCACTGCGTTAGATTGAACTACAATCAAAAATAAAAAGCTTATTTGGAGTTAAACATTTTATGTTACAGAATCACACATCTCTCTTTGATTTATTTTTTTCCCCTGCATGAGTGTTTTTGTTGTCTATGAACAACACATAACACAAAACATGAATATAGTTCCATAGTTTTTGGAATTCTTCAATAATTTTAAACAGTTGAACACTTTAGGTGAAATGTGGTGAAGGAACAATACATCAGATGAAATTAACTTTTCTGAGAAAATCCTCAACAATGTACACAAATAAAAATAAATCTTGTTCGAGCTATTTGTGTTTGTTGTGGTTTTACTCAATCTGTGGACTTAATCGAAGTACTAAGTACTATGTAAATAATCAGAAATCAGCTAGAATGCTTAATATTTGCTTTTCAAAGACCTCTATTGGCCTCGCCTCAGGTCAGCTGATCAGGTGAATTCCTACTAAGAGGAAGGAAGGTTGTGTCTTTGCTGTAGCAGCTTTCAAAATGTGAAATGATCTGCCTTTGGATGTCAGACAGGTCTCCCACATATTGAAATTTCTACTGAAGACCTCTAATGGCTTTATTCACCCTGTGAGATTTTTAGTCCAGTAGTTTTTATTGATTAAGTTATTTAATTTAATTAATCCAATTACTACATATGAATTCATTCAGCTGAATTTGATTAATAAAAATAGCATAAAAGTTTAACCATGCTGGAGTTAAGAAAGAGAAAGAACTTTAGTGTTTTTGGGTAGTATTGCATAAAAAATAAACTTATGGAATTAGTTTCAGCAACACGACTTATGTATGTATCCGATGGCAATGAAACTTAAGACGTTAAGATGTGATTGAGCAGGATTAAGGCAAGAGCCATTAAATTAAACAAATACATAGAATAGTAAGTATACTGCACGTTGGCCAGAATGTTCTTTAATTTGTCTGTTGCTTCCAATAAGATTTGGAGAGAATGCAGATGCTATTAAAATGCTAATAAAATGTTTAATTAATGTATTCTTGCACTGCCTGACCTGTCCCAGCTCTTCATTCAGGTCTGATGTATTGACCAGTGCTCCCTCCTGGATTTCAGGATCAAAAAAATCTTTGTCCCAGGTGATGAAAAAAGATCCTAAAAACTTCTGCATCTCCACTGTGACGTACATGGACACCGGAATTATGAAGTTAAAAAGGACCATGAAGGACAGGAAGTCTGTGAACATTTTTAAGTACTGTTGAGAGAAAAAAAAAAAAAAGGAATGATGAGAACACAGTAAACTAAGAAAGATCAGTCAAATCCATAAATAGTTTAGTAGATTTAATTTTTGATATGGTGGCTGCTTTACTCTTTTACAAAGAAATAAAGTCTCTATTTGGATCAGATGGAAGACATATAACCTGCTTCTGAGCCAGTCCTTAAAGCATTACTTTCACTTTGAGTGTGTGTGTGTGTGTGTGTGTGTGTGTGAGCGTGAGTGTGTGTGAGCGTGAGCGTGTGCGTGTGTGTGTGTGTGTGTGTGTGTGTGTGTGTGTGTGTGTGTGTGTGTGTGTGTGTGTGTGTGTGTGTGTGTGTGTGTGTGTGTGTGTGTGTGTATGTGTGTGTGTGGTTTGATTTGCTTCCGATCACAGTGGATACTCTAGACAAGTGGTATTAGACATATCACAAAAATCATTTATAAAAAATAAAAAAACAACCAAAACCAGTTCTTGAAACCTGTCTGGGCTAGTGCCTGAGATGAACCTGAATGGAGAAAAGAAGAGGAGGAGGACCTGAAACTGCTCATAAACAAGATCTAATAGTGCAGGCTGTGTGATGCGGATTCATAGCTTCTCCTGCTGCAAGACAACTTATATTAATTGATTTTGTGACAGGATTCATTAGGTAATTTCTGTTCAGGCAAAAGCAGAATCAATTACCCTGCTGATCAAGCAGCATTTCACTTGCTTGAATCAAACGGAAAGGCAGAAAAATCTATGAACAGCCACAGGAAAGGCTTAGCTAAGTTACACAAAGAGGAAAATCACTACCTAAGAAAGTATCTGAGAATAAAACATTTTTGCATTTGTCCAGGTGTGTTTGAGGTCTAGTAAGCTTTACCATCTGAAACATTTTGTAAAATGTTGGTAAATCCTTAAATTAAACCACGAGTCTTCACTTCACCCATTTAGTTTATTTTGTACTTTTAAAGCCTGCAGCAGTTGTTATGGTGATTCATGAAACACTAAAGAATTTCATATCAGATAATCTCCAAAAATCAATTCAGACTGAATGTATTTATTTGTAGGGGGAAAGGTGTTAACCCTTATTAAACACCATGTACTTTAACATTTATGGCTTAAGCCAACTTGTGATATCTGTCCCTGGCTGGTTTTTGGTTACATAGAATAGAATAGAATAGAATAGAATAGAATGCCTTTATTGTCACTATACAGGGGTAAAGTGAGATACAGAACATCTCCTACTCAGTGTAACACAAACATACTTGGGGGGGGGGGGTCAATTCTGCAGCGCTATGTACATATGGACAATAAGTATTATGCAACATTTAAAATACAAGTTCAAAAAGAATAAAAACAGAATTCCTAAAAGCCTGTCACGTCAGCACAATACCATCAAACAAATGCACATCATAGCTGTCTAAAACCATAGCCAATAGCATACCCTTACTAAAATTGTTAACATGGTGTTGTCACACGTCTGAAAATCAAAGTTCTGTATTTGAAATAGTATTCTTATTAATAAATGTTTCACGCTAGTTGTGTTGTCATAATGCTCTAGTTTAACATAACCATTAGAAAACGGTTTACCTAACCTGGTGTTAATTGGGTCACAAGTCTCTGTAATAACTCATTTGTGGGTCAGAAGCTGAAAAGTTTACAAACCACTGACATCTCAGATAAAACTAGAAAAACTGTGTCACAGCCCAGATACACAGCATCCAACTAGTGGATATACGATGATACACTGAAGCAACGCCTGTAAAAGTCATGTGCTCGTCTTCACTCAGCACCATTACTACTCTACCATCCAGCCCTGCAGTAATTTATGTTTTCCAGTTATTTATATGTTCCTAAGCCACGAATATACTGCAGCTATTGCAATGTATTGTTTAAAAAATGTATTGTTTAATAAAACAAGGAGAGATATTGCTAAACCAACAACAGCCTTTCCCGACAAAAGTCAAGATGGGCGAGTCCATGAATGTTCATTTACAGGTTGACGTAGGCCTGTGTGCTTTTTCTAATCCCAGTAATTCCCCTGTCATGGCATTATCAATGGCTAATACAGGAAGCCGTGGTAGAAGACCATTTTCACATTCAGCCTGCATGTAAAATTCTGAGTGGCCGATCGGACTTCAAAAATCACAAATAATAAACTCTTTCTCAGTGAACTTGTTCTTTAGGAATACAAACTCACCAGGTTTGTGTCTTTCTCCTTCTGAGTTTTCTTGTTGTACCATGGCTCGTCCTGTCCAGGTTTGCTCTGCCAAACATATTTAAGTGTGGTGCACACAAGCGCCTTGCTCAGCAGTATGCAAAGGTAAACCAGAAGAAATGCATTGATGGACCTGACATTACAAAAGAAAGAAATTAGTAATGACTACAAAACACATGGTTTTAAACTTGGAGGCAGCCTATGTGCAGACCTACTTCTCAACAGCGGATCGTTTTTGAGATTTGCCCTGATAGTTCAGAGCCATTTTTGTCTCCATGCCTGTGTAAACTGCAACACCTTGAGGCAAAATAAGGAGAAATAAGATTTTTTCTGTCTATATCTTCAGTAAAAAAAAAAAAAAATATATATATATATATAATTAAAGTGTAATAAAATTTAACTCACCACATATCTTCTGAGTGTTCTTTAGAGTTGCTCCCTTCAGCAGCAGGTTTTCTGGGCCTAATGACCTGCAAAATTACATCAGCAGATCAAAACGTGAGTAGTTAGAGGAGCTGAGCCATCCACACACAAATATTCTCCAAATGGGAACCTGGCAGGTAATCTGGCATCTACTCCTACATAGACAGCATGGCTGCAGTCCAGGTTTCCATCCCCCAGTGATCTTGAGAAGGACACTGGCCATTTGTTTGTATTGTCATTGCAAAGCAGTCAATGATAAATGCCAATGGGAGAGCTTTGGAAGCTGAGGCTAAATCCCTGCCAGCATGTTTTAATTTTAATGCTTGTCTGCAATGAAAGATCAATGGAGTAGTGATTTGGTTGAAATGCAACAGGAAACAAATTTGCGCTTAAGCAACTGTGTTCTGATTTTGCTCTCATTTAAAATGGGTCGAGGTGATTGTGCATGAGCGCTCACCTCACGGCGGGATCCTGATTGGTTTTGTAGATGTGCATTCGGCCATTAAACCTGGAACATAACAACACATACTCGAGTAAAGGGGATCGGTTTTGCATTTTATTAGTTTTTATTATTCAGCCAAACACTAGAGTGGATCTAGAATTGAGATCTTAATCTATTGTTCATTTTCAAACAGCACAGTGTTAAACCAAAAAACAGCACATGCTTGTGGTGCAAATCTGAACAGACACCATGTTGATTGCCTTACTTGTAAAGGTCAGGCTGTGGTTGTTCACACTCAATGGTGGCATTTAGAGATTTCAGATCCCTCTCGATATCTGGCACCGTGTAGTGTGTCTGGAAAAGGGAAAGAGGAAAATAGTGTGTGTGATCTGAGGCAGATTTAGGTCAAGTGGTCATTTTAGCTTCCTCTTCTCATTCAGCAGAAGAATGTCAGATACAGAGATGCTTTTACAAACATTAGCAAGATGCAGAAAATAAACATATATTTGACTAACAGGACAGGAGAAATGTCTGTTATCCAGAATGACATTTTGAGTTTCCAGCTCCAATAAACAAACCTACAAGATGTCCTAACTATTTTAGAAAAGATAATTCACAAAAATAAACTTCTTTGTCTTAATCCTAACATGCATCGTACTGTTAATATGGTAAAAAGGGACAGCATAGCTCAGGAGGTAGAGCAAGTTGTCCAGTAATGGGAAGGTTGCAGGTTCGATCCCAACTCTGGCCAGAGAATGCTGCTGTGTCCTTACTTAACCCACCTTACCTGCTGGTGATGGTCGAAGGAACCGGTGGCACCAGTGTTCATCAGGCCTCACTTCTGTCAGCACGCCCCAAGGCAGCTGTGGCTACATCGTAGCTCACCCCACCAACGCATGAATGTTAGCCTGGCCAGCCAGCCCCAAGCGACCTTATGGGAAGCACTGGGTCTGGGATCTCTCCCATTCTAATAACCCCACCCCCTGAGAATTCTAAACGAGCCAATCAGCGCTGAGCAGTGTACAACAAACTCACTCACTGTTTCTCATAAACAACAAAGACGGCGTCTGAAGCGGAGTTCGCTGCAGCTCTTTCCTCTGTTCTAAATGACTTGAATGTGTCTTTAAAATCACAACAAGTAGAAGCCTTAAAAGCCTTTTTTCTAAAGAAAGAGGTTTGTGCTGTCGCCAGATGCCATTATTGACTACAACTAAAAAACATCAGCGTTGCATGTAGGGTTGTCACGGTAACCGGTGTAGCGGTAAACCCCGGTAAAAAAGTTGACAATAATAATAACCGTCTCGTTTTTTTTTTAATATATTATCTCGGTGGATTACCGTGGCTGCGGTGTAGGCGCGGTGACCCTTACCAGCCACCGTATCATCTGCTGAAGTTGCCGGCGGCACATGCGCGCTTTGTTGTTTACAACCAAAACTTTCTTGAAGCTAAAGCTGAAATAATGGCCAAAGGAGGAGACGGCAGCGCTCAGGACATTTATTATCCCTCAAAGAAGACAAAGTGGGAAGTATGGGCATTTTTTTGGATATTTGAAGAATGCCGAGGGACAGTTGATAGAAGACGGCTATCCTGCTTGCAGCATGTGTAGGAAGAAGTGTCTGTGAAAGGCAGCAACGCTTCAAATCTCATGACACATCTGCGTGACCATCACCCACAACTCTACAGTCAACGGAAGGCAAGTTAACGTTAGCGTTTTAGCTAAAATGTGTGATCCGAGGATTTGGGTTGAGGGAGAATGCAACGAGTCGCTGTATAAAGCAGCCGCAGCGCCCGCTACCTGCATATAAACCGTGTCGAGGACACCCCCATGTTGAAATGACGCTATGCATTACGGGGCTCCCAGGGGCAGATAAGAGTTGGTCTCTCTCCGAGAATAATTATGAATTTAACAATGATTACTGCCTGATGACATTTTCCCACATCTACAAAGCTCACTGGAAGGACACAAACCGAGGACAATATTTTCCTGATATAGGGTTTATTACTCAAGTAAGGGTAAAAAAGTATCTGATTAGAAGGCTACGTGAGTACTGAGTATCATCTGATCTAATATTTTTAAAATGATGACATTAAACAGACAAAAAATAAGAAGTTATGGGCAAATATTGGTATTTAAAAGACTAAAGGGGAAACATGTAAACAAATAAACATTATTACAAAATAACACATTTTAAGCAAAATTTAGACACAAACTGAGGACGATATTTTCCTGATACACAGGGTTTATTTAGTTGTCTGAAAACGTAACACTTTTAAAAAAATACTGCAATAATACCGAAAACCGTGATCATTTTGGTCACAATAACCGTGAGGTTAAATTTTCACACCGTGACAACCCTAGTTGCATGGTACAGTCGGCATTTCCGCCTTTCTTCTGATTGGTTGTATTTGAGCTAACTTGTCCCACCCCTCATGTGCCTCTCTGCTTGTGAATAACCAGACTAGTTCTCTGTGTAGAATTAAACGAGTCTGGCAGGCCAGGCTATGTGAATATGTGAATGACTGATTGTGTTGTAAAGAGCCTTGCGGGTTGTAGAACCCCAAGAAGGCAGTATACAAATACAGGCCATTTATTTGAATATGTCTATTTTTAGACATATTCAGTGCATCGTACCTTATGGTTGGACTCTCCGTCCAGACTTGCTGTGGTCACAAAACATGTGTCATCATCTCTAGTAGACTGCAGAAGAATCAAATCACAGGGGAAGGTCTCGTTTTCCTTCACTTGAACAATGTCTCCAACCTGAAAAAGCAGTGGTGAAGACTCTGTTTGCTTTCCCACAGTGCACAAGTATAAGAAATGGAGCTCTAATAAATGTGGCCACAGAGTAGGCAGAGGTCTTTAAAACAAACTGTTTCCTGTCAGGCTGTTGCAGCTACTGTATAAAAAAACTGCATGTGAGTGTCGTATCTTACTACTGGTCAATATTCACTTAGCTTCTAGCTTGAGTTTGCTTTACCAATTACAAAAAATCCATTGCTTGCTGAATGTTTACAACCCATGGAAAAACATATTGATTCAAGATCCTTAGAGGCTGTTTAGCCATTTTCTTTTATAGAAATTAAAATTTTTACTTCTAATACACAGGTTTGTTAGAACAGCTTCATATTTTAGATTTGAAAACAGTCTTAATAAATCTTGTTTATTTTAAAATAATTATAATTGATCTATAACAAAAAAGATGCACATTTTCTGTCTTTTCTTCATTCCCCTAAAGAACTACATTCATCAAATCCATTCTTTTTGCATATAGCAGCAGAGAGATGATTTAATGTGGTTGAACTAAAATAATTCTGCAAAAAACAGTTGGACAACATTCCTCACAGTGATGTGAGGGACTCATTACCTGTAATCACAAAAATTTTGAGTAGTTGCTCTGCCAAGGTCGTTATGACCAGAGAAAGTTTTGGGGACAACACTTTTTCACAAAGAACCTGGTTTGTTAGGATTTTTTTGTTGTTTTCTGTAGTAAAATAAAACCCACATTTGAAATCTACATTTTGAATTTACTCTGGCAATTTTTGTCTGATATTGAAATGTGTGTGCCGATTCAATGTCCCACATTTAAGTGATAAAAACCCGAATAAATCTGTAAAAAAGCTAACACCTTTTTACAGTACTATACTTGAGCTTCATTTTACTTGCTGTGCATTTCTTATTGCACGTTTTTTACTTTCTGATTCCTGTACTGTCACTTTGATTTCTTAGTAGCTCAACAAAAAATCACAGAAAAAATATTCTCTAGAGTCTGAAATCCAAATGAACCATTAGAGAAGTAGATTTAGGTAAACACTACATTAATTACCATATCCGCCATGTTTATCACCCAATTAGCTCAGAGAATAGAGAAAGTTTCCTCCTGTGCATACATAAGCAGCCAGCAGCTTCTCTCTGACCATATTCCTATGAAATTATATATACACAATGAATCCTGAACAGGATGAGTGCTTTTAAAGTTACCTTGATGTTCTCACTCTCTTTTGGCGTCTCTTGGCCATTCTCAAGCACAGTCACTTGGTACTTGTTCACTTCGCGATCAGCTTTGTGCCGTAGCCAATCTTCATATCCCTGTGGCAATGGATCAAAATAGGACTGCATTATTTGCTAAGTACAATAAAAAAAGTGCTAACATTTTTTGCCATTACTTCTCATGGGACACTGAAACTGTGACTGTGACACCAGTGAAAGCACCGTGAGGCGATACTGCTCAAACTTAAAGATGGGTCATGATCCCCTGTTTGACTTCTGACATTAAAAAAGTGCCTGTAAGCAGACTTTAAGATGTTTATTCAAACAAAGTAGCAATAGATTTAAAAAAGGCAGAGCAGTAATCGCATCCAGCTATGGTTTCAAGGATTTTGCTGGAGGAGATTGTGTAGAGATGTATGGGACAAAGGAAGGCAGCAAGACGTGCCAGAGCTGAGCTCAAGCCAGAAAGTGAAATTACAGATAAAGGAGACAGGAGGCGAAAATCTGCTTGAGTAGCATAGAGTAAAAAAAAAATAAGCAGGGAGAAGACGAGTGCATGCACGCCATCACTGCTCAGTTTTCGGCATTCTTAGCTCCGTACTTCAACACATCTCTAAAGGTGGTCCAATGTTGCTCATGTCTTCCTTAGATTGTTGCAAGGAAGTCCACCTACTATTGTGCATGTCAAAGCTCCAAGACGCCTAAAACAATACATCTGAAGTTGGAACGTTGTAGCCAGAGAACAAGAGAAACGAAAACTCCCCCTGATAATTTGTTTCTCTGTAATTGTCATGCCTCAACTCCAGCCAAGCCCCGTTTCCCCAGCAACCACAACCAGCTCATCATCAACTTTATCCAAACCACCTGTCTCGCATCAACTCATCAAATCCACCTGCAACACTCTCTATATAACACCAGGACCAACACAAAGCCAGTGCCAGATTTTTGAAAGCTCACGCCAGTTAATTCTCCAGCACTCCAACCTCTGCCTACAGATCTGGACCTTGATTCTGTTCCTCGACCAACCCACGTGCCTGCTCCCTGCCTGGATTGTTTTCTCTGCCTCTGACCACCTGGATTCTCGACCTCGGACCATTCTCTGGATTCTGCCTCCTGCCTGCCCCTTGTAGCATTCACGGATCTCTCTGGTTTTGACCCATGCTTCCTCCTGACCCTGCCTCAGCCTCGCCCACCTCTGGTAACACCTAGTTGTGGTTTCCTTTTAATAAAGACATTAATAAGCGCCTTACTGTGTCTTGGTGTCCTCAAGTTCTGTTCACAACAGTAATAGACTCACTCTCTTGTTCTCTCCATTTGTTCAGACTCCCTCGGGGGCTGTTTCATCTTCACCCCAATCAGAACTTACCAGCAGAGCACATTAACACAAAACCCAAGAGAGTGTTAGTCAAGTATGTTATACAAAAAACAGCAAGGGAGTTATACAGGCAGCAAGACTTAATATGGTTATGAAGGGGGAGGGAGGGAGGGAGGAAGGCAATAAAGGACAAGGAAATGAGGGAATGGCTAACGAAGTCCCAATAACATTCGGTTATGGATGCTAATCAGTCTCATTACACTGTGTCTTACCTGTTTGATAGCAGTTACTGTAATGACAAAAAATAAAGGTAGGCCACTGGTGACTGGGCTGGTGGGGGTATCCACTATCACCTAGACAGGAGAAACAATGACTCTAATTAACAAAAATGTTATGAGAACACATGTAACCACTGGAAATAAAAACATATTTACTAAATCGTGCTGCTTTGGCTGTGGTACGATCAGTGTGTGGGACTGGTTTAAAAGATGGGGCTAACCGTCTAAAAGCAGAGTTTTATCCTTTTTCCTAACACTCTTATACATTTCATATATTTGCTTGTCAGAAGGAAATATAGGAGGGACATTTACATTTTGGAGTGAAGCAAACGAGGTTCTGGGCCAAATAAGTTTTAATCAAGAGAGCTGAGGATGGAGTGCTTAATCCACAAGCATGCCAACACTCCTGTGGCTCTGCCAAGGCATAGTAGAAAGCCAGCTGTGGGCTTTGTCAAATTCACCTTACCTGTCTGAGCTTTATGCAAGAGAAACTACATGTACACACAGGTGCTCCAGTTTTAATCTCAGGTACAAACAACCAGTTTAAAGAGTTGACGAGGCCCAGCAGATAAAATCCCATTAAACAAATGAGATGGGCTTACGTGTCACCATAAACCACATGATGGATTTACCCCTGGCATTTCTGATCCTGCAGAATGCAAATTGGACCTCCCCTCGTGAGCTGCTTTGATTATTACAGCATTCATATACACAACGTATGCAGCTCATTGATATTCTGACCAGAAGCACAGCAACCTGTCAGCTCATCTGAGGGTAGGAGATGCGTTTTCATACAGTCTCCAGTGTTTTCCTCACTTGTGCTTGAACTGAGAATTAAAAAGGCTCTCGTTGCTCTGTGTGAACACAAAGGTGTCATCTTTATTCATATTTAAACACTTTCACATTCAGAGGAGATCCAAGAGCAGTGATAAATAACTATAGATGAGATGCTGCCAAACTAAAGTTAATAAAATGAAGTTACAATTCAACTAGTTTAAAAGTGTATACTACAAATTATGAGTGGTGTGTGTGTGTGTGTGTGTGTGTGTGTGTGTGTGTGTGTGTGTGTGTACGTGTGTGTGTGTGTGTGTGTGTACGTGTGTGTGTGTGTGTGTGTGTGTGTGTGTGTGTGTGTGTGTGTGTGTGTGTGTTTAAGTAGGAAGTTAAACCACGCTTCAGTAAATGTAGCTAAACAACTAAAATTAGAAGAATGCTGTTTATTTTTGTCATCTGAGCATCAACCTGATCCTCAGACCAGAATACAACCCTAAAAATTTAGATCAGCACTGAAGGAATGAGAGGGAGCAGTTTACTTCCACATAAATAGTTAATCTTGGTGATTTGAATAAAATATGTCAGATCAGAAAATAAAAAAGGACAGGGAAGATCTAGTTCCTCTCATCAATCTAATATGAAGTAAGGCTGCAATAGTTGATAAACATAATTTATGCAGACTTTCCCTTAAAAGGGCTTCTTGCCATGGGCGGGGGGGATCTTGCTTGTTATCAAGTTCACCAAGACGAAACACAGCTCTTCCAGCAGAGAAGAATGTCTGACAATGTTAAGCAGAGTGTTCACAAACGTGGGTTTGATGCAAACGTCTGAAACACCTAGAGCTGTTTACACGTTTTAATCTTGATGTTTCCTCTGTTATTTGTATTAAGATCTCATGGATACTTGTTAAGAAAACTTTTCACTTATGTACTTTGGTGCATGGCGTTTTAGTTAGTAGGAGTAGCTGCATAGTTTTCGTTTCAGGTGTGTGTGCGTGCGTGCGTGCGTGTGTGATATTAGAGTAAATTAATAGTAAACATCCTCTAACGTTTAGTTGGTTTCAAATTCATTCACTGCTCATAAGTTTCATTTGCTGTGAAAAATTATATTAATGAAGACTCCAATGACATTCAGAGGTACAAAAGCTTGGGCAGGTGAGGCAAGACTGAAAGCAGGTATCTACTGAAGTAATTGTTGACTAATTAAATGGCAGGGGAGAAGTAACTGATTAGTCAACTATCAAAGTAATCATTAGTAGCAGCCTAAGTAAATGGACACCCTAAGAACACAAAACTGCAAACTCTGCCTAAATTGACAGAGGAACAATGAATGACTATATAAAATAAAAATAAAAAAATATAAAGGAAACAGTGGCCATGTCCACATTCAAGAGCTGCATCGTTCAAAGAACCCAGTCTACCTGGCTGAACAAGGCTGGGTCCTTCATCCACCACGAAGATCGTTAAGTGAACCCCAATGAAATTAGATGGTAGAGCCTTGAGATTTTTTCCTGACTATACCTCAACACATCCTGTCACAATAGCATATCCTGTGACCTAGCAGTGATAACAGCACCAAACAGAAGCTAGAGCAAATCAAGCTTGAAATTTTGCTAAGCTTCTTGATTACTTCTGTTAGGAGTTACAACAGCTTTACCAACACAGGAACTTGTCTACAATCATTTTTTGACAAAAAATATATTTTGAAAAAGCCTAACAACACACCAGCTTTAAGCTTTTCCAGTTTGTACCACTAGATTTCAATATGCTTGCATTTAAAACTACAATCTTCTCCTGCCATCATTTAAAGGACTAAAATCCCACATTTGACCTAAAATGAATCTTGGGATAGGGTGGGATACACCAGACTCATCCTACACATTAGCTGAAAATAAGGCTTAATTTGTGGACTGCCAATATTTTAATGTCTGATTAACAACACTGAAAGACACTAAAAGACAGCCGTTTATCTGACACTACTGTTTGAATGTAGACATAACAAGCTTCAACTGTTGGATTGGAACCAAGATTTTAACTGACTAACTGGTGCCTTTTTTGTGTGTTTTAGAGATAAGAAGTCTGGACTTTGTGGCACTAGGAGATCCAATTTGAAGGAGAAGCATGATTATTATTAATTAAAGGCAGGCTGTTTTCAAAAACCAACTGTCACAACGTAAGTACAGAACTAATAGTTTACATCTTTGTAAATAAACCATACACATAATCAGTCTTGTATTCTAACAAGAGCTGTAAAATATTTAACTTTAACTCAACTGACTACTTGTTTTAGACACTCCGTGCTGAAGTCTAAACACCTAAAAAAACAAGTAAACACTTTAAGCTTTGATGTCTGCTGTTCATCTCTTACTCTCTAGACTAAAAGTTATCTCAGTACTTTGCTGAAATACTTGTCTTAATTGCAGCCACAGTTCTTTAATTACTTAACTCCATTCAAACTACCCACTACTTACATGAGGGAGGTCTTGCAAACGAATTTCTAATAATACATACATCTTTTATATTACTTTGCAGAGAACCTGTAAAAAAAGCTCAGTGTGCAGTGCGCGCGTGCGCCTGTTCTCCGCATCGGAGCTCTTGCCTTATGTGACGCCCACAAAGTGTGGTCACATAATTTTGTTAAAGTATTTAGTGGTGTAATTTAGTAAAAGTAATAAAATAAGAATAGGAAAGTGTGGGGTGCAATACCGAGGTTCTCCACAAGGTGGCGGGGGGGATGCGAGACGGCTAGTGGAGCGCTGTGTCCCATCTACCGTTATTCGGGAGCAGCAGTTCACAGAAACCACTCCATTCTGATGTCTCTGTCTCTTTTTTTTTGCATTTCAGGTTAGTAAAGTGCACCCAAGCATACAAATCCACCTATATGAGGTGCGCCATGAGTTTATAAATGTAGTGACGGTTGATAGCTTATGCTAAAGGTTCAGTTATAGAGTTAATTGGACGTACATAGCCGTTAACGTTTTATGCCCATAGTCTAGCCTCACAGGCAAATAGCTCAACTGGTAAGGTTGTGAGCTATCCTAGCTTGAATGGGTTTAATAGAAATTTATATGTTCAACAAATGTTTAATTGATAGAAGGGTGCTGAAGTAGGTTTAGTTATTATAATAGAAAAAGTGGAGTTTAATGTTGTTTCGGGTCAAAAGAGTGCTTCTTGTAGCAACGGCTAGGTCACACTGGTGAATATATATGAATGTTTGATTGTGCATTGTCTTGTAGCCAAGCCTAAATGTTAATGAGGTTGTGGAAACTGTAAGGGAAAATGACTGAATACTGGTTTAGTGGAAATGAAGGAAAAGTGAATACATACACATGTAATGTAAAAGGGAATATATTATCCTGAGAAAAGATAATTAAAGATTCGGGAGCAGCAGTTCACAGAAACCACTCCGTTCTGATGTCTCTGTCTCTTTTTTTTTGCATTTCAGGCACCCGGACGTTCCCTCAATAATTTATATTTAAGCTGTTAGTGGGGATTGTGCCGGCCCGATACCTGCAACAGTTTTTGGTGGCCCGTACGGGGAGAGTACCGGTGAGCCCTGAAGAGATCTGCAACGAACAGAGAGACCAGACCAGACTGAGGGTACCCAATCGAGCGGCTGCGGAGAGAGAGAGAGACCTGTCCAGGACGAAGAGTGAAGAGAATTCCGAACGTGTGTGACCAGGGGAGAGGAAGAAGAAAAGTGGGACAGCCATGGCGGACGGTGAGAGGAGAAGCCTGGTGCGGAGCATCAGGAGAGGCCTGCTCACGCTTCCACAAGAGAAACTGTTTGAACTTGCTAAGTCACTTGGGTCCATACCAGGAGCAGAGCCATCGCGTCTGACGTCAGAGGATGAGGAAAGTTGTTTTCAGTACATCAGCGATGTTATAAACAGCGAAGAAATGGTAGAGTCAGAAGATGCAGGATTGTCACATCTGTTGGAGCTGCAGGATGTGATTGAACAACTACTTCAGAGTAACGAGGTGTCGGTGAAAATAGTCAGAGAGAAATTTGGGACTTCTTCAGATAAACAGCTAGAAGACACAGAGGGGAGCCAGAGAAATGACGCTGATTTTTCTGACAATGGTAGGGTAGACAGCACTGGGAATCAAAAGGGGGATCTAAATAATACAGAAATGCAGGCGCTACTTAGTAGTTACGAGGAGTTGAGCAAAAAAATAACACAGTTTCTTCCCGTTCTTACTCCCCAGTCTGCTGTCCAGCCTACACTTCCTAAATCGCTTGACAGGGTCAAAAATCGTGAATGCCTAACCCAGGAGAAAGTAGTGTCGTTTAAGGACCTT